TTGATGTGTTACCGGTAATATCAGTCACATTTTTCTGTGGAAAAAGTACTTTTGATACTTTTAGCTGATAACACCTCTGTACTTTTATTTGATTGTGAATGAAGAATCTTTACATGTGATAGTGTATATTGAAGGGGTTGTGTTGGCATGCTTAAGTAAAAGATCTGAATAGATACAGACCCCAGTGCTCAAGTAAACCAACATAGTGTGCCGGTTGGTGCGTTAGATATAGAACGTTGTAGCACCAGACTCGAGTCGACTGCCTGGAGTAGCGTGCAGGCTTCACCTCGTGTACGTTGAGCTCTTGTCTTGAGGTTATTGCAATTCCCTCTATTGCCCTCTTACATGATAAACAAGTTCAGAAAATCAATAAAACAATGTCCAGTGATTTTGTAAGTTTCATCTAATGCAACATCAAGTTCCTGAAGCCAAAACCCAAAACTATATTCAAGTTCGCAAAACACAGAGATGCTAAAATTGATTCTGCTTCAAACAAGTGAGTCATTATCGGCACACACAGATGGCTTTTCTTTGATGGATGCTTCACAACACAGTGACTGTATCAGCAGCCACTGGAGTTTATACAGTAAATCTCATTTATGTTGCCAACTGCTGGTTCATTTGATGATGATGATTGCATATTGCAGTGCAATCCCAAAGTGCTGGTATCTGTTTTCCGAGAGACAGCATCAGTGTTTATTCTGTTTAGAAGTGTTGACCACAGGGGCTCGAGGATTTTTACAGCCTACCTATGAGTCAGATATTACTGTAATAAACAATGTTTTTTGTTTTACAGTAATGGATACATTTTGTAGCAAGGGTATTCCACACCTTAGATTTTGCTTTGTTCTTGAAGGAAGAAAATGACAGGGAAGATAATGGTAATATGTGATTCAGTCATCTAGAAAGAAAAAGGAAAGACTTTAAAGACAAGGGCAAATCCGAATCCACGTGTATCTCATGGCTCTTGCAACTAGTCACATGCTTCCATCTGTTCTATATGGACAACGAAGCAAAACGTCACTTTTGACTAATGATAGGAAATGAAAACTTTTTTACACCATACTTTTTGGCACACTGGCCCCAGCCTGAGGCTTAGGATGATGCTGATGCTTAGTCATACTTGGTTTCTAGACTGCGCTGGATTACTCTTAAATCTCATTTTTGGGGCTTAAACTAATCATAGCCACCCAAATTTCACTTGAATTTTGGGTTTTGTGCAACAAAAGCTTGTTTTCTTGCTGCAAGTAGATCCTACTCATTGTGGTTTACAGGTAGTGGTGAGGATGGTTAAGAATATGCTTCTGTTGATATGTACCTGTAAACATATGTGTACCAGTGCAATGTGAGTCTTTCAGGTTCAACTTGAGCCAAAATGAACCAAACTTCATGCTTTTCCAAACTTATATCAGAAACTTTGGGGCAAATCAATGTTAGTTGTTATGCTATGGCTGGAAAGGGGGGATTGTTTTTATAAAACAATTAGATGCCGGAAACATTGAAAAATTGCAATTCATCTTTTGGCAATGGGTAAATGCTATTTATTCACCATCTTCTCTCTGCAGGCTATGCTGTCCAACCAACTAATTTGTTTTTTTTTTTTTTTTTTTATGAATAATGGTATGAACTTTTCTTTGTTGTCACCCAGCCAGAAGCCTCCAGCCTTCCACCATGTTGAATTCAGAGATAGACAAACAATGCCTCGGCCCAAACATTAGACAGAAATCCATTGTATTGAGCTAGCATATGGAGTGTGGGTGAGAATGGATAGGGTTCAGACACCTGAATGCACACAAACACACACATTGACAACAGGCAATCAAGGGTAAATGATACTAAACTGAGAGACATGGTATGGATCACATTGAACAACAATCGCTCCAATTAACAGTTGTTGAAACCTAAATAAATTAGTGTCTGAATTAAAGAATGTTTCCCTTGTCCTTTTGAAAGTAGAAATGTGTGGAAATAGTAAAACATGCACTAGAAGTGTCAACCTGCACTTCCAGATCACACAGACTAATTTAATCAACAGCTTGCTGACTGATCTCCGTACAATTTAAGACAAACTGATTTATCGGATACTATGGTGGTTTATTAAGCAGCAAGCTAAAAAAACTATGAAATGTTGAAGGCAAAAAGGGAAATAGAAACCGGGCAAGCACATCAAGTAAGCATTGATCTCCACTCATTCTTGTTAAATAGAAAAACTAAAACATCTACAATTAATTGAAGACATCCATAATGAGCAGGATTCTTGTGTCCAAAGTAAACATGATATATATATATATAATGTATGCTACATATAACTATTATTTCAACAGTATTTCAGTGACTATATTTCCAATTTTTCTTGTAATATTTGTTACAGACAATTCAGTGTCATTCTTCCATTGCACTCTTTGTTTGTCACTCTGAATAAAAGCATTAAAATGAAATGTAAAACCGAGAGCTATGGATTAACTCTGGACACTTGTTGTTGCCGATTGCTCAGTCTGAACTTGGCATCACACTGAATACATCTTTACTCTTAGAATCTCCAGTAAGGAAATAAAGTCCCTTCATATCATGCTTGAGATGAAACAATGACTTTGTATATTCTGACAGCGACCTGGCCCATTCAGTCCTGCAGACTTGCTGATGAGGCCCTCACACTGCATGGTGCGTAAGCCAATAAAATCACAGGGAGACTTGGTGAATAACTGCTGATGGCTTTTGAGTCTATCAGGGGAGAAGAGTTTAAAAAATCAGCCAGGATGAATACACAAAGGGGGAAAGAGAATAAACAGAGACACGTTTTAAAAAAAAAATACTTTCATAAACTGCTAGAGTGAAACCTTGAAATGCCCCCACCCGCGTTCATCGAGTCATTCATTGAGCCCATTCTCTGCATCAAAGACAGTTCTTATTTCCATTTTTATACCATCTAGGCGAACACCACCTGTGAAAATGAGTTGACAGGTTCACAGAGGGAGACTTTGATTGAAATGCTACCAAAGCAATCAGTTGTTACAGACTACCATATTAAGGCCGAAGGTGTTTGAAAACAATTATGAGGGGAAGGCTGACTCTTTCTAAACGATTGAACAAATTGGATTGAAAGCTCTTTGCATCAATAGTGGGCTGACAAGCAAAGTGTCCCAAAGCCATAAAAAAAAGGTTGTGTGAGTTTTGCTGTAAAAGCAATTTCTAATTTCATTCCTTAAATTCCTGTTGGTGATTATCCACTCAAGTGTCAACCGAAACGCTGCCAATGTGTGGCACAATTTTCAATGAGAACAGATTACTTAAGATATATCAGTTGTGGGGAATAAATCAACATTTTCTTATTTTGGTCCCAAAGTCATTTCGTAAAAATTGGTATATGGTTTAGCAATGTATTCTTTGTCATTTCAGCAAAGTAAGAAATTACACTACTCACAAAAAGTTAGGGATATTCTGCTTTCGGATGAAATTTCAGAATGTACATAAAATGCACTATAACCTTTCCAGGTGATCTTAATTTGACCTTCTACTTAAATGCCCTACTTTCATGATATAATCTCACTGTAGCATCAACTTTTTACATTTTCCATACATTTCACCCGACAGTGGAATATGCCAAACTTTTTGTGAGTAGTGTATAAGGATTCCTTTTAGCTTCTTCAGGGATTTACCTCTATGGCAAAATCATAGATATCCAAATAGTTTTGTGGGCACTTGACAATGAAAGTCTAATATTCACTTTCCTTTTGGCTTCCTATGGAGTTGACTTACATGCAGAAGACTACAAACTGAGTCCCCAAATATCCTAACTATAAACCTAGCTGATGGAAACGTAGGGCAGCATGACACAGAGCAGAGCGACTCGTTTCTGCTCTGAGGATCTTAGCTCTGGTGCTGAACGTTGTTGAAGTCAGCTTCTGAACAAGATGCTGATACAACAAAGACCTTAATGTGTCTTCTGACTGATGCATGCTGTTAGAGGTGAATGTGGTGCAGCTGATCTGCAGGTGTAATGAACTGTAACTCTAACTGGACATATAGACTATGAGTAATATATTTATCGTAATCATAGATGAGGTGTATTGAAAAGAAAACCTCAGTAATAATGTTAAGTGTTTATAAAAAACTAAAAATATCTACAAATAAGAAAATGAACAAGCACGGGACAAATTACTTGTATTTCCTCCTTGTTGCTAACTTTGTCCGTCTGTCTTTTGGTGCTGGACAGGCTGTTTACAGCCGGTTTATCAGAGCTTTCCTGGTGAAAACAGCTGCCTCTCTGTAGATGGAGTTACCCATTTGCATGGGTAGGGAAAAGCAGACGTTATGCCAGCATTACTAACTTCACTTCTTCCCCGGAGTTCTTGTGCTTTCTCGTCTCGCAGGTTCTTATCGATCCTGGTGGAGCCTCCTGCCATGGTCCTGCTAGATTGCCATTGCCAATACTGTTGTTGCTGTGCACCTGTCTGTCTGTCTCTCTCACCCCAACTGGTCGAGACAGACAACCACCCACCTAGAGCCGAAGGATCTGTCCTAGGTTTCTGCCTTTTAACAGGCAGTTTTTCCTTGCCCTTGTCGCCAAGTGCTTGCTCATGGTGGTACTGTTGGGTCTCTGTAAATAATGTTATAAAGAGTTCGGTCTAGACCTGCTCTATTTGAAAAGTGTCCTGAGATAACTTCTGTTATGAATTGGCGCTATACAAATAAAATTGAATTGAACTGAATTATCATTTCCTTTTCATTTACATAAATGTTTGACCCATAAATATCCTCTGTTGATTATGTCACTTTAGGCTCAGTTTGACTTTGACGCTGTAAACAACCAGGAATGTAATGACTGGGGTCAAACAGCATAAACAAGTTAATGATGGCACATAAACATCCAAAGCAATTATGTAATGTGAAGAAATAAAGCTAAACAGCCTCCTTTCAACAGTTCAATCCTGTTGATTTGCAATCATCTGGCTAACAGCATCAACTGAATCCCCTAAATGTAAAAAAGTACTATCCACATGTCCGTTTTCTATAACATCTTTATTTAAAAGGATTTACAACACAAACTGGCAGCACTTAATTTAAATGGCATCTTTTTTTTTTTAACCTCAGTTCTGCACAACTTTGTATTTTTGTACATACAAACACACAAAATGTGTCCCTTCGAAAAAACAATTTGTAAGGTCCTTAAAAAGAGAAAAGGTCAAAGGTAAACAAGGGAGAAATATTCTGGCAGTTCAGTATATCTGTGATCTTCATAAAAGGGGTAGTTCAGTGGCCCAAAAGACTCTCAGACCAGCTGACCAGCATTGAATCGGGGTATGTATGCATGAAAGGGGACTTCTGAAGATGAAAAAACACCACTCAAACTGCGACAACCAATAATGCTATTCAGTTCCCTAACCAATATAAACTCCAAACTGGGAATAAAACTACAGTAACAGTCATTTCATATGATCAGTGGTTTATGTTAGCTTATTAGAGACAATCTGAGATGACCTGCGTTAAAGGTCCGGTGTGTAAGATTTACGGAGATCTATTGGCTGAAATGAAAATATAACAATCACAGGTCTGTTTTCATTAGTGTATAACCATCTGAAAATAAAGTGTTGTGTTTTTATCGACAGGTCCTCTTGTACAGTCTGCTATGTTGAACTGCTATATTTCTACAGTACTTTTGCAGCTACCAAAGTTTCTCCTACACGGCTGGAAGGGAAGAGTGAGGCGAGGGGTATTCAGTTGGTTTCACTCTGCAGCCTCACTGTTAGATGCCAGTAAATCTTACACACTGGTCCTTTAACTTACACGATCAGCTAGTGTGTTCAGACACAAGACAGTTTCTCTCGTGGTTTATCTGGCTGGCTGACATCTCTAGAGACAAAACTGAATCATAGAAAAGTATCTGTAAATTATTCATACAGTACATACCAAAAAACGTTTTATCTCTGGTCATATAAAAAAAAAAAAAAAATTGTATTTAACACTTGGAGCTTAGAAATATCTGTTTTGCTGCCACATTGTGATTCTTCTGGAGGACAAAGATAATGTGAAAACACTCAAGTCACAGTAGAATCATTGTAAGTGAATTAAATATGTTCTTACTTGGCTTTTGACATTTAAGGTGTGAAACACCACTTGAGCCTTTTGCATTAAAGTCGTAAAAATAGTGGATGAATCGTTTTTGTGCATGAGAGTATCAGCCTCTGGATTATTGGTGGTCAGACTGCATCAAAATGGAGGAAAGTTGTGCGTACGCCTGCTTCGCTTGAAATATTTTCCCGCGAATTAAGTTTAATTAGGTTACTTCACAAAGACTTTTGTGTCAGGTAAACGCATGACATGAAGCTACTTTGACACTTGACATTACTTTGGGGAACAAAGAAGAATTTCAGATCTTTTCTCTCTTTCCTGGTAGCACAAACAGGATCTGTTAAAACCGCAACCCTGACTCAAAAAGAAGGGAAAACCAAGATAAAATGACCTTTCTATAGGAGGATTCAATTTACACGATGTGAGATTAAATGGATGAGACCGTTTTTCTCTTCATCCACGAGGAGATGTGCGTGACAGGTGATGGCTGGTAAATAGTGCAATATAGTGGCCAAAATAACTTTCCTCGCAAAATTCACCAAATCCCGGCACTGTTCCACCGCTAAAGCAAATATTCAGAAAGTGATTCCAACAGGAAAATTTCAGCTACCATTCAACTGAATGATGGGGTAAACTGACATTGCATTTTCTTTTCATTTTCAGCTCTGCTCGTCACAGAAACATAAGTACACATAGCGTTGGCATCATTTCCCTTTCAGTTCAATCGATTCCCAATGTGATTTCAAACTGCCAGAATCAATGACGACGAGCTTAGTAAAGGATAAAAATACTGTTTTTCAACTACTGAACACAGTCTGCTTCCTCCAATGACTGAGGCTCCAACCCTGATGCCACCATAAAAAAGTTGCATTAATCAAAGTTAGTTGGAACTAAACAGAGGATGTAGAATGAGGACAAGAAGATGAGCAACAGAAAAAAAGTATACTGTGGAAGGAAGGGAAAGTGACAGATGCCTCTGCTGGTTGGGAAACTGTTAATGCAATAAAAGAAGTTCTAATGAACTACAAACATGATGAACACCCCCAAAACTTGTATTAAAATAGAAAGGGTTATATAATGTAATTAAATCTAGAAATTGCAGATAACTGAAATAAAACCCAAACTAAATAAAAACTCAATACCATCTTCAGCAGCCCACAAGTAATTATACCAATAAAGCTTCAAATTGACTTGATGTGGAAAATAACTCACTCTTATGATTCAAAACTGTTCAATTATCATTTTATATTAGGAGGTCAGTCTTTGTATGCAACCACCAGAGGGCCATGCAGTCACTTTCCTTCCCTTACGGAGATGAGGAGAGCAGAGGAGAAAGGAGCTGTTGTGTTTTTAGGCCGTGCCCGCTGCTCCTGCAGGCACCGCCGTAGAGAGTGTCGCAGCGTTCAGGCCTTTCCCTCGATGTCTCTGACCACCTCTCCTGCGTCCTCCACCTCCCGACTTGAGCTGCAGACAGACGGGAACACCACAGTGAGCCAGCTGTTGCATGGAATCAGGTTAAAAGAAGACCAGCCACCAGGTAAAACCAGAGGGTCCACAGGAATGCATTTCTCACTTGTGCTTTACGCTTTAAAAAGGTTAAGAGGGTAAAGACTAGGTTCACTTTTTTTTCCCAGGGGAAGGAATAAAATGAAAAAGGTCAAGCACAAAAGTTCAGGGTTTCCCCCAGGAGATAGTGGAGGTGCCAAGGCCCTACAATTTAGTACTCATTATATAAATGATTTTTTTAGATGCAATGTAGTTATGGTAATATTTAATACAATATGTATATATATAATAATTTCATCTGACATTAGCAGATGGGGTTGCCCTCCTCCACTATAAACACTGAAGAAAACCCTGCAATGTCACCAGTTGTATTCATATGGCAGCCTAACACAATGCTCTAATACATTTTAATGATGACAAACTAGGTTACTTTCAGTCAAACCTTTTGAAACATCATACTTTCAAAAACATGTTAGAATTTTAATTATTATTTTCCATGACCAGGGAGAACCATAAATTTGTTACAATTACAAAACTTCACATTAAAATACTTTAAGTAATAAAATCAGTGGGAAAGGGAGAAAAATAACACTTTTTAAAGGTAAGTACCGCAACTGTTTCTACATCAAAACCCACAGGGGTCCAGTTCAGTCACTACTTTAGCAATTAAGCATTTAATTGCTAAAAAGTGAAGCTGCTCAGCGACCAGCAGTTAAACTCTGCAGTTGTACGGGAGGAGTTTCCAGGTGTGACTGTGAATGAGGAATATAAATAAGACTGCACCGAATAGGAGCATGCACGCTCAGGAAACATCAGTTCAGGGAGTTTAGAAAGTGAAGCAAACAACAAAACAACAGCCAAGCTTAAGAAGACGAGGACCTCATCATGACTCCCACAGTCTGCAGAAACTTCTTTACCTTGTTTTCTCTGTTGACATCTTTACATAGAGCCTCCTCCTCTGCCACTGTCTGACGCAGCATGCCAAGACAGGGAGGGAGGGAGGGAGGGAGGGAAGAGAGATGGGAGCAGAAAAGCAAAGCGTTAAAGTTGAAGCAAAGAGCATGAAGGGCAGAAAAAGCAGAGAGGAGGGGTGAGTATCGGATGGGAAATGAGGAGGAAATAAGAAGGATGATGAAGGAAACAAGTGTAACCGTACGGGGGAAGGAAAGCAGGATATTATGGGCAGGGTAAGAAGGTAATTGAAAGCAGATTTGGGAGGGAAAAAAAGAATAAATATGGGAGAAGGAAAATCACATAAGTCAGCAGTTGAAGCACAACAGGTGAGAGAGAGAGAGAGAGAGAGAGAGAGAGAGAGAGAGAGAGAGAGAGAGAGAGAGAGAGGACAGACAATTGAATGAATGAACTGGCAAATTTAAAAAGTCACAAGCAGGAAGAAAGTAGCTTTTTAAATGGCGACAGGAGCATTTAAACAGTTCAGTTTGTTGCACATAAATGGAGCAGTGCTACAATGTGATCTTCACTTTATTTTCTAGATTAAATATAATAAGTTAAATAAATAATGTATTATGTATTGATATTGTTGATACAAAATCTTCTGGATTGAGAAATAATCCCTTTTTTGTCCTTAAAAATAGTGATATGTAAGGCTAGCTCTGCCTATAAATTGAACACGTGGAGCATGGATTCACTCACTGGTAGCTGTGCTGTGTTCGGACTAGGCGGCCGTGCTGCTGATCCAGCCTCCTCATTGGCTGCTGTGCCATCTTTAGAAGTCTTCTTACTGGCCTGCATCTTGGCCTGTTGGGCCTTAGCTGCCTGGGTGTTCACCGATTGGAGAAGCTGAAATAACAAGCACAGCCAGTGTCAGTTGACGCACGTTAATCAGAGACTTCACGTAGGAGTGTAGAGAGCACACACATACACACTGAAACACAGACGTTAGCGTAAGCTCCAGTACCTTTGTGATGGTGCCCACAGCTTTGGTGCGTCCCTCCCTGAACACCAGCTTCTGGTCACAGTGCAGGTACTCGGGAGTCTTAATGAAGCGGAAGTGGACTGTGGCCTTGTCCCCTGTCCGTAGGCAGTCTTTGTTCATGGTCAGGATGGTGGCTGTCTGCCTGATGCTGCCGCAGTGGACTGGTGTGGTGGAGAGAGGAGTGTGACCCAGTTACTCTTGGTAGGAACGTTTCAGGGTTACGGTTTTGTGTTTGGATAAAGCAAGACCTCATAAAATCCAAGTGTAACTGCACCCATAATGTAATAAGGATCAGACACAGAAGCTACATAAAGTTAAAAGGGATTCGACTGTGTTGCCACTGACCCATGGCCTGGTATCTCGGGGATATCGTGGTGGGGTGATGGAGCACCAAAATCTCAGCCTCAAACTCCCAGGTGGCCTGTGGCATCAACTTTGGGGAAACCATGACCATGCCTTTCCTTATAGATGAACGTTTGATCTGAGACATGGAGAGAATGTAAACAAAACAAAAGAGCAGGAAGAAAAATGAAAGATGAAGTTGGGGGGAAAAGTGATGAAGCCAAACCAGAATTAGCGACACAATATCACCTGAACCCACATGCTGGGATTTGCATGCATTATAAAACTGATTATAAAGTTTGGAAACTAATTCTGTCACATCAGGAAAGTTTCAGAAGATTTTAAAAACTTAACTTTGTGTCAGGTTGTCTTTATATAAAAGCATTAAAAAGCTCTCTGGTGGCACTAATTCAGCCAAACTTTTCTCCTACAAACCTTTTTGAGGGCAAAGGACGCCGTCTGGCCACCGCGAACCTCCCTAACAGGCATCCTCTTGCGGTGGATGGATTTAACGGCGATGGGGATGAAGGTGCCCAGCGGGTCTGGGCCTAAGAGCAGCGTGTCGTTGAGACGAATTATTCCACGTAATGTAGTCCCTGAAACTACTGTGCCCACGCCCTGCCAAGAGAAGATTAACAATGGGCCACATTAGTTCACACAGTCTTCATCAGTCTCCATTAGTGTGAAGCGTTCAGTGTATAAATCTCTGCAGGTAATGCCTTTTTTTTCTTTTTCTTTCATATTCTGAAAGTAGTAATAAGTATTTCCACCACTATGTCAACAGTCTTTAAGCTTTTAATACTGTGGAAGGTGTTGCGGGGGTGTACAGAATGTGCTTGTTTTTATATTCTGCTCTGCTGTGAAAGGCACTGACAGTCTCTGCACTCACATTTACATGCAGGTATTTGACAGCGAAACTACAGATTCAGTTCAGTGTTTCGCTCAGAGACATTTCCACATGACACACTGCTGCTGACAGAAAAATTGGCTTTTATATCAACAGCAACCTGCAACTGCACAGACTCTCAAAGTGCTGTTGTCTCCCTTCAGGGCTTCACTTTAACATTCAGACCACTGTCAACTTCTTCTGTTTGGTCAGGTTGCCCCGGCTGGTAACCCCTTTCAGAAGAGGAAAGAGTGACTGGGCTGAAAGGAAAAACAAATCCAACATCTGTGAGTGTAAAGCTAAGTGTGAGTTTTATTTCGTACCGGTACGGAGTATGTGTCATCTATCTGGAACTCAGCAGGCTCATCGTTGTTGAAGTTGGTCCTCGATGAAAGGAGGTTGAGGAACATCTTCAGCAGGTCCATGTTCTCCCCCGTCACATTTGAGATTTGAAAAATCGGACACATCCTGCAGAGAAGGGGGAGTCAGGGAAGGAGAGAAAGCTTAAGCCCAAGTGTCAGCAAGCATCTGCCCGTCATGCTTGCTCAACCTATAAGCTCTACAAGCATCAGGGATGCTGTTGTTCAGACCAAAAAATGTAGACTTGTGTTAGATGTTTTAGTATTGACACATTTAACCCCAGTTTTATTCCTCCTTTTTTAATGATGCAGGGTTCATGATGAAGTGTCCCAGGTTTATTACAGGTAGGTGGTCAGTATTTATGGGACATGTGTTTGTGGCGCTCTTGGTTGTTCTCACCACAGCTGATTTTTCCACTGCAGTCTCAGTGGAGCAGAGCAGCAGTCTACAGCGAACTGACTACAGTTTACTACAGTTTCTTCTAACCGTAACGTTCATTTGGCCACAGCCCGTAAGTAACAGTTCAAATCAAGTAGAAATTTATTTTATAGAAAATGTTTCTTCTAGAAAGTCATAGTGTTCGTTGCACATACAATTAACGTCACACTGTATCTTTTTTTAATCAACCACAACACCAAATGCAAGTTTGATGATTTACAGGTTGTATGCATGTAGATATGACGATCTACAGCTTGTCCACTGGGCGTCTCTGAGAATACTGATCGCGGTTCTGGGGGGAAAAAACGAGTCTGTTATGCTTGACTGGTAAACCAACTTTGAGGTTTCATCCTACCAACAGTTGAGTTATACAATCAAATATCTGGACATTTTAATCAATTACCAGGTATTTCCATGACTGGAAAACTAGTCTCTACATTTCCAGGTTTTCCAAGAAGCATTCCTGTTGTTCTACCATAAATACAATGCCATGAATTAAAAAGTATTTGGGAATCTTTAAAAATCTTTTATGTAAAATTAATTGAATTTATAAAACAATACACAAACCTTCTTTAAAACTGTAGTGTGGAAACAGTGAACTAGGTCTTGCATGTTACCACATAAATTCCCACATTTCGCTGAAGCTGACAGAAGTCTTGCTTCAGAACTCATTATCCACAGAGAAGCTTCAGGCATTTTCTAAATACTAACTTGGTGAAATTGTAGGGTAACTGCAGATATTTTTTTTATTTTCTTTTTTTACTTGTAGATAATGTGTCAACTGGTTGAAATCTGTCACAGGATGTATTTATCTGCACCACATGTTCAAACTGAGTTCAGAAGAGCTACTATTAATCTCAAATGGAATGAGCCGCAAAAACTAAAATCGCTCCTTGATAATTTTAAAAAACTTGCGATTGTTAATAAAGGTATGTAATTTGTGTGTCTGTATCTGCCCTTACTTAAACTGTGTGTATTCATTCTTTTACACAGGTCTCTTTTGAAAAAATAGATCATGATCTCAATGAGACCTGTTTAATAAAGGATTGAATACATTTAAAAAAAAAGTCTTTATTGTTTTCTTCCAGTCAGATTTTTATGTCTCTCCCTCTTTGGACAATGTATTTCTGTCTTTACATCCCTCTTTGTCACTCTTACCTCTCGGAGCTAAAGTTGGAGGCTGTGACGATGACATCATCCTTGTTCTGGACCAACACTGGGATTTTCCTGCAGCCTGGTGACTTTAATAACCTCTGTAATAATTTTAGCGTCTCTGCAGACACACACACACACACACACACACAAATCCATCATGCATACTATTATACTACTAATACCTCACATGGGAACTTCAACATTAGCTTATCTTACGTTGCCAGATGTTGGGTGCAGATGTGATGCTAGTCATTAAAGATGTAAAGCTCTGCAATTATACAGCTTTTTTTGGGGGGGGATCTAACACGAACACTATGAGCTTTACTGTTGTCTCTTTACCTTGCAGGATGTTGGCTGGACACATGTCTATCTTAGTAACCACTACAAACACCGGCACATTTAAGGCCAGTGCCAGACCCAAATGCTCTTTGGTCATGCCAACGATGCCAGCGTTACTGCCGACCTAAGACAGGAGAGAGGAGGAACAGGGAAACAGGAAAGGGTTATCTTTACTAAATTTTAAAAGAATTGAAATTTAACAACAACAAAAAAAACAATGACTAAGCAACACGGCAAGCACAGACACACACTTTCCCAAATTTCATCTCTCTCTCACCATGAGCATGCAGAAATCAGGCAGGTGTCCCGTCATGCCGAAGACAGTGGTCTTGAGGTACTTCTCGTGACCAGCCAGGTCTATGAAGGTGATGACCTTCGAGGATTTCTCACAGATCTTGGTCCAGTCTAAGCCGCCACCGTGGCTGTCTGGCTTGTTCACCACCTACAGGAGAGGGAGGACACAGAGAGAATAGAAGATGACTTGACGCAGTATGTGAGAGAAATGAAAGCCCGACTAGAATAAAATTCCAGAAGAGGGGGGAAAAAAATCGTCTTTCTCCGACCCAGTGTTATTTATGTATGGCATTTAGTCCAAAGGTCTTTAAAATAAAAGCACTAGAGAACTGGCAAACGTAGGATAGCTGCTATCACTTTCTTCATTGCTGCACGGCTCAGAGAAAATTCCTGAGCATTGGCTGAAGCTCACCTGTCCCTCCTGGTCAAACCCCAGGATATCATTGCCCACACTGCTGGTCCTGCCGCTTTCCATTTCATGCTTGTGTCTGAAGAGCTTCTGCCGAGCGAAGCCTCTGCCATTGTCCAGCTCACCGTGGGTCAAAACCCCAAGCAGAGTGCTTTTGCCAGCATCCACGTTCCCTACCACCGCCACTCTGGAGACAGGAGAGAGGAGAAAATGGAGAGTGAGGACTTCAGTTAGCAGTACAGAGAAATGTATGTTGTTATATTAGTGGTATAATGAGGTAGGTACACATCCTCTCCCTGCCTGTAAATGCTTTAACTGCGCTTGTATCTTGTTTACTGTCTGTGGTTATTAATGACTCTGTCCATGTTCTTGTATTTGTTATTTTATTTCAGTTAACAGTTGCTATGAATGAACATGGATCCGCAGCACAACATACTCAGTTTAAACAAAGGTTCAATTAAATAACAATAATAGAGTAACATAATAATCATCCCTCAAAATCCAACTCCATATAAACATAAACAAAACACACATAACACTCTACGGCTGTAACCATTTTATTTGAAATTATAAAAATTTGCTCGAACGTGGTTATCTTTCAAAGTGTAACGACCTGTTCGACCACGTGAAGTCGTTTGTTTTGTGATCGAGCAGAGTGCACTTCACTATCAGCTTGACCTATGGCATTCCCTATTGATAAGTAAACAAAGTTAATAATGTTACGTGGTTTACCACAAAAATGGAGGACACTAGCAAGCAAAGCGTGGAGCATGGCCGTCCTGAGCGCACAATATACTGAAGCGTCAGAGAATCTGTCGACTTTGTTCGAAGCAGCTGCCTAACCCTACAGTGACAACAAATCTAGCGTTCCAGCTTTAGTCCGCGGAGGGGAGGGACCACAGACGAGCTGAGCTACGCCAAATGTACAACCTCTTCTGACTGCTAATATTCGGCACACTCGGCTTCAGCAGGTCCCTTAGTAGAAGCTTGTAAAAAATGCATTAAAGAGACCAATAAGAGAACAAGATTTGTATGCAAGGATATGGGGATATGCAGCTCATTGGTGTGGTAAGAGTGAATGTCTTATCCTTTAGTATCATGTTTTACGTAACGTTTTCCTGTATGGTGTTATATAGTTTTACTCTGTGTTTTGAGATCAGATTTTTGGCGAATTCATTTCATTTTGACTTTTTTGAAACACACTAAGACATGTCCAAATAGAATAAACAGAGCCAGCAGCTCAAAACTCAAATATGACTTATCATTATCTTCTCTTAATCTTACCTGACTTCCAGAAAATCCTGCTCGCCCACACGTCGGCGGATGAGGTAGTCCTGAATCTTTCCGCCGGTGTCTGTCCTCTCCCTCAGCCAGATCAGGTCAGCCTCAATCTGCTCACACAGCGACCGTACCGTGGCTACCGACGCCTCCATGTCCTTCTCATCCAGACCGTAGTCACCTCCATCTAAACAGAGAGGAGGGGGGGGTGGGGGGTGAAAGAGAGAGCGAGAAAAGAAAGTTACTCTGATGCAGAACAGAGAATGAGTTTGGTAACATTAGCCATTTACATTAGACAGGCTATTGTAAAGCCTCGCCCTGAGAATGTCAGTTTCTTTCTATATGACAGGGTGGTGACCACACCACACTGGCAGAAGTCTTTGAAGAAGAGTAAATAAAAAGGTGGTTTATAGGAGAGCTGGGAGTGGGTGTAGAGTGGAGATTAGAAAACCTTATTTACTGGGACCACAATGACTGACAAAATGACTGGATCATAACCAGTTTGCTTAAGGCCCGACCAAGAACAGCAGGCTTGGAGATCTTATTATAGGTTACTACATAGAGATATATATCTCAAGAAACCCTGAAATACACTACAGTAGGTGTTTTTCAGGCTACCAGTTACTTTATGGTTAAAGCAGCTCAAACATGCTACCACTGACTGGCCACAGAGGCTACTAATACTAGACTGACAAACAGAAACAACCAGTCAGGTCAGTAGGCCAGTCAACTTGCTGCTCTTCCAGTCGGCCAGTCAGTCAGACAGACAGGCAGGCAGACATGAACTGGTGAACTAGTGACAGTCTCAGTGCTGAGCAAGCAAAAATGACACCCTTTCACACATGCACTTTAACCCCCCCCCCACAAACAGGCCACATGGGTCACACATGCTGCTGTAACAGGCAAAAAAGAACTGGTTGCCAACAAAAGCCCTCGTGGTTGTGCATGGGGTGGAGGAAGAGAATGAAAACTAAATGGCAAACAAATGGGGTCAGCTGGCTTGGGTGCTACTACACACTGGTGGCTAGGCCTCTCCCTAAATATGCTAAAAAAAAAAATTAAAAAATGCAGCTGCTTATGTAGAGCAGTACCTTCCATTGCCTGGAATTGGTCAATGTGTAAAATGCTACACTGTCCATATCTCAGTGTCAGCTGTGGGTGGAAAATAAACACCTGTCTTACACAACATGCTAGTGAATTTTGCCTTTGTTTTCCTCTGTTTTTGATTTTGAGGATTGTACAAAAATCGAGCTGGTAAAATGTTAAAAGTCTTTGGTGCCATCTATGGGATATATACCAGACACACCAGAAAAAATAGGACTTTCTTGGCCAAACTAAATTCAAATCCTGGGGCCTGTTTTGCCACGAGTTATTTAGTTTCTCAATCTTGCATGGTATCACTTAACATGACATTTCCAAATCAAACCAATCTCAAATTCTTTGGCTTGTCTAGTGCTGATATCAAGGTCTGTGTGAGTTTGAATCATATTTAGTCATATTTACCTTTTAAAGTTTTTGTCAATTTGTTGTGAACATTTTAGTCTTTAAAATAAAAAAAAAATGTATAGTCATTATTTCATCTCATCTTTTCTCCACGCACTTCTGCCTTGTCCTTTCTTGCCAATGATAATAAAGAGATTTCAGTGGGTTTTTTTATTAGTAGGGATGCTGACTCAGCATCCACACTACTGTTCTTCAAATCTTTATTTTCATTATTATAATTCCTTTTTATAAATGTTATGAAATGTATGCATTTCAATAACATCTCATTCTCAACACCACTTTTCATTATATTTTCGACACCGATTTGTCAATTTGAATTTAATTAACAGCTAATGTACACGTAGTGGGAGCAGAGGAAGAAGTTGTTCTTGGAACAACATACTTTACTGCTGAAACCTCTGACACTACCAACGGAAACATTTATCTTTGACCTACTAGAAACACATTTATTTCCCTCCTTGTCATTGTATATAAGAGAAATAACTCAGATGATTGCTCCAGACATACAGCCCATAACCTGCAGAGCATACATTTCTGAATCCTTACAAATCCTCAAGTGAGCATGAAAACAATCCATGAATCCAACCTTGTAATGTTAATATGCACTACATGTTTCATGTAACAAAGCATGTTCTTTGTTAGGTCAAGGTGTGCGGCAACACCTTAGGTGGCATTCTAATGATTTATGTGCTGTTCAGTGGAGCAAGTGTATTCTCAACTCTCAAAACTCAAAAGAACCCTTACCTGAACCCATCCCAACCACATAGATTGTCTCTCCACAGCCTTCATCTATCCGCTCCCTCAGATGCCGTAGTAATGAATCATACTGTTCCCCTGTTGGACTCACTAGAACCAGCTGTGAAAAATGAGACGCAAGGGAAGACACAACAAAGAAATATGTTGGAAGGTCAAACAAGAGCAAACACAGACTTCTGTGAGGGGGTTTCTGAAGTACTGACAACTACAAAACACAAAACATAGCTTTATTTTAAAGGTCATAGGCTTTGCAAATCAGTCAGTGATTGTGTTTTCTTAGTTCAGTTTAAGGCTGTAGAGGTTGCTCCTGCATACAGTAGACATACCCCGTGGATGGGTAACCTGCCAGCTGGATGCACTTACTTACGCAGCGCAACATACGTGTCACTTTGTGGCGTTTTGCACAGCCAGCACAAAATGCGCTGGCGTGGAGCTTACGTGCAACAAGAACTTCAAATGTGTTACTACACACCATTCGTTCACCGAATCATAACAAAAAGCTGCCTGCTAGGAGCGTCTTCAAACTTAACGCTACAAGGTGCAATTTACAGTGAGGCCCACCTTGCTGCTAAGGTCTAAATGATCCGCGGACTCGCCGTTTGTACCCTCGCCGTCTTCGAAGCACTCTCCGCTGCATGGATCGTCGGCACATCCCTGGTCCGGTGCAAACATACAAGCGGGCACTATGGACTCTGCTGCTGGTAGTGCACTCGGGCATATCGCTGGCTCTGTCGCCGTTAACGACGCCATTTCTAAAAAAAAAAAAAAAAGAGAAAGAGTGCAAACACGACAAAATAAATATACACTGACTCGTCTCCTTTGCTCGGCTCCACTGGCTAACCTTTAGCGAGCAGCACATACAGAAAGTTTGGTTATCACAGCCAGTTAGCTAATGCTAACCAAGCATCGAACTTGCTGTTATAATATGTAGATTAAAACTCCTAAAATGGAAATGGAAATAAAATGCTACAGCCGTAAAATGTCAACAACCACACCTTCAAACTTTTCAATTTAATTGTTTTGATAAAGGTAATCAAATCTCTTATGAAATGAAGGCATACCAGAAGTTGCTAACTAGCCGACAAGCTAACTTAGTTGTTTATTCGCGTTAGCTTGGGTTTGTGAGCACTGAGTGTAGGACACGCCCATCAGAAAATGGAGACATGTGATTGGTTACAGTACTTGAAGTCACGCCTACTGCCATGACGTATGCCATACATCAGCATGTTGCTCGGGTGAAGCGTCGACAGATAAACCCCCCCCCCCCCCCCCCGCACATACACGCACACTTATTCTGACGTAATAATACTAAATTTAAAAAAATTGCCATTTCACATCCACTGTACCTATAAATTGTATATTGTATAGTTTAATTAATGGTGAAATATACTAGTGGCTGGTAGATTTGCCCGGCCCACAATCTAATCCAATATAATCTATTTAATGGCTGTTTCTGTATACTGAATATTAGATCTCTCATAGGCTTGGTTACCCTCATTCTACCATCTGGGGTACCAGCAGACCCCAGAGGGATACTTTTTGTCATATCTCTCAATTTTTGCCAATTTGTTCCTAATGACTTCATATAAGTGGTTTGTATTGGAGACCCCAGTCAATGTGATGCCCTCTGCCCTATGTATCTGTTATCTAAATATGTTTTTGTTTTTTTTAGCAATGATTCCACCACATTCTCATACAAACATATTGTATTGTAATGTCTTTTATGCTGTTTTTATATGTATTTTTCTATTTATCAATCTATTTATTTATTGCAAGTACAGTACATTTGCTTCTATAATCACTCCCCAAAATGAACTGAATGTAATTATGTTGTAGTTGAAACAGTAATAAATGAGGCAAACCAAATGCAAACTAATAAATAACTGCCTCCTCTCTCTTAAAATTAGCAGTATATAATATGATATTTCACAGCAAGACTATCAAAAAAACAAGTAAAGCATAGTTGTGAAGAGTCACAGACAAAAACACTTCTCAGACACCCGTTTATAGTGCAACAATCTCAGCAACCCACAACATCATTAGTAAATGAGTAGCCAGTTATTGTAGTTTGTTCTTAGGACAGTTTGACTTTCCTTATGAAGGTCGACCACTTTTTAATTATAATATATACTTTTTTTATTTTCAGACTGCCAAGAAAACCTCATGGAGTAATGTAATGTGTACAATATTGCTTTGCAAACAATTCATTCACTTCTTACAGTTATCAAACATGTATAAATACATTTTTCATTCCAGGGAACTTCCGTCCGAAGCTGTAGCCGACATCCTATAATATGAAGCAGAACAGTGACTATTGTATCACTGAGGGGCAAATATCGTCATGTGTGACTGGTCATTTCTTTACAATCCTTTCCCTACTGCTTGTTTCCCACCCCCAGCGTCACCAGTGTTATATAAACCACTCACCTGCCTGCCGAGCTTTGTCACTCAAGGCACAACCCACTGAAGACAGCCAAGATGGTAAGTGGTGGAAAAAAAGCTTTAATCTCAGCATATTTCTTCATTCTTCTCCTGGACAAATATCTGCATTCATCATCTTGTTGTTCTATATCTGAGTTATGGTGCTATAATAAGCTCACAACAGCAATGTTTCTCCTTTCCTCCAACTTTTACAGCCATTTCTAAACACTCAAAGATAGGGAAGATCTTTTCTGATTGCACTTAAAATATTCGAACCAGTATTCACACGTTTCAGATTTACAGGTTGAATATTAGTGGTACATTTTTAAAAAGGTTTGTTAGCGACAACAGAATCATTAACACTGATTCACTAGACCACAGAAAGGAGAGAACATGCTTGGTAGCATTAACACCTGAACTTTCTACTTTTTGCAGCTATTATTTTAATATTTCTCACTTGTACGTGTGATTTCATAATCATTTGTAGAAAGCTAAGTGACACATTTCTATGCTTTTCTGCCCAGGAAGTGCTTTGTTTCATTCATACTAAGTTACACAACTCAAAATAAAAATCAGTGGTTGACTCGGTCACCTCAGAGTAGAATGTCCTGATTCTCTATGATCCCTGTGAGACATACATATATTGTAATTCATAATAATATACAATGGCTTGGAAACAAAAGACAAGCATTATGCTGGTATGCTGGCACATTACACCTTAATAGTTAACTGACTCAAATCCCCACATGTATTAATAAAGTACAACTTAATTATTCTCGAACACCTCGCCTGTGCAGTCAATGATAAACCAGTACCGATCGGAGATAGGGGATAAGACATGACTTTAAAGAATGTATTGTGAGTGGTATAGGCTGAGGTATCTTTGGGTGTGGTACAGGTATATAGGGGACAGGATGTTGAAGTTTATGTGTAACTATCAGGTGATGCTCAGCATGCAGAGACGAGGGACAGTAGTGAATGGAATTTATTGTATTATTGATTAGATAAATAAGTTCAAATTCCTGATATGCCACACTGAGAGTTAAAACTATTCAAATCAATCTTAGATGTTTTATTAGGTTTGCTAGTTGTGTGTTAGTTGTCCCTGCCTAGCATCTGCGAACGTAACATGACATAGGGTCCGTGGGTAGGCGTATGTTTATGGTTTTACAGTCTCTGTATGACGACCACGTGTCATTGAACAAACACGGCGCCTTCCTGTTTCAGTACTTTAACAGCTGAGGGTACACTGTTCCACCCTGGTTGATCATCAACAGCCAAGATAAGAACACCTCTGATCATCAATTATTCCTCCAGACTACACAATTATTTCTGTTTGTCTCTCACATAGTCCTAAATTAGCCAAAGCGTTATTTTTCAAATATGGAGAAAAAAAGATAAATTAAATATGTTCTGCCTAAAATTGATAAACTCTGTTTGTGCACTCTGGTTTCACTTACAAGATAGATGGGTTTTTAATGTGGGAGGATAAACATTAAGAATAAAGTCAGTAGTTGGCATTTAGCCCTGCTTTCTTGTAAAACCAGATTGGTAGCCTGATCCAAGCTTTAGTTAAATAAATTTAAAAAAAAACAATGAGTGTTGCATATCTTTTCATGTAAAAGTTGACTTGTTTCCTCAATAGAGTCACTTTGGTTTGTGAAGTGAAGTTACCATTCTAAAGACTCATCCGTCCACCCACCGACCCATCCAGCCATCCATCCAAATCAGTTTCCATATTCATCTTTTTCATTTCCCTTTACAGAAAGTCAAGAACATGACATTCAAGGAGGGGCATGAGTTCAAGATCCGCATCAAGCCCACGGACGACTGCAACTCGTAAGTTCCCCTCATGAGAGAAGTTTCAAGTGGAAGAACTTTCTGAAAATGTTCCAGATCCATTGTCTCTGCGTCATACAGTTTAGCTTTTAGATGTAGATAACAAAGAGGAAGTTGACATAGTGCACTGTGAGACAGGTTAATGTTTCATCCACTTCTTCCCTTTTTCGTGTTCCTGCCTCCACTGCAGCTTTGCCATCAACATCGGTCATGATGCTGAGAACATTGCGATGCACTTCAACCCCCGTTTCGACTGTGGCAATGACACTAACACCATTGTCTTCAACTCCTTGTCCGGGGGGTCCTGGGGTGATGAGCTCCGTGAGGGAAACTTTCCCTTCGTGCGTGGGGAGGAATGCAAGGTGTGTTGGGAAAATATGAGTGTTCGTCAGTTGTCTGTAATCTCTCAAACTTCAGTTTAGTCAGATACCAAACAGCAGAACCGTTTAGTCTCTTGCATACAACTAAATACAAGGTTTAGTCTAAAGGATGTAAGTAAGGAAACTTTAATACACATAGAGTACATTGTAATATTTAGCCTACTACTAGACAAAGTAACCCTTGCTGTCGCCACACATTACAATTACAATATGATGCTCAAACATAGCACAGTAGCAGTAGCACAAGAGTATTTCCAATTGAGGCAGTGTGTTTTATTTCTATTCAATTTAACTTTTAATTTCTAAGGGAGAGAACGAGTTTTCTTCTTATTGCTTTTCATTCTGCATATCTGCTTAATTACATTAGGTACACACAGTCATCATGTCAATATTCCAAAAAGGGTTAAAAAAAAGATAATAAAGACAACTGTGGCAACAGAAATAGTAAGTAAAAAGAAACTGTGTCCCTCCATTACTTTATCGCATTCTGCAGCACCTAAAATGGCAAATATCTAATCCCAGGAGCATAGTTGTCCCCGAATTAAGTTGCATTCTTACGGTTTTATCACTGTTTAGACAACAGAGGCTCAAAAGTTCTTCTGCTGTGATTGTAGTTCACACACAGACCTGTTGTATTTGAAAGAATACTTTTAGCAGACCATTGGCAAAGTACGTTTGCTGTATTTATTGCAGTCATTTGGCCTAAGCTCAAATTTCATAATGTCTTTTGCCATAAGGAGGGTATTAGTGTTTCTGGTATGTGTGCTGCAACACTGTTAGGTCAACAGAAACTGAGCTATACAATCATTAACCGGTTTATAGGTTCATAAAACCTGAGAGCCACTGATGGAGACAGATAGCCCTACCTATCTATCTCAGTCATTCTTTTTACATCCAGTTCTCTTACCTTTTTGTTGTATGACATTAACAGACACTTGACCAACACTGAAAAATAAACCATGTGTTTTCTGTTCTTAGTTTCATGTCAACTTCAACAATGAGCAGTTTTACATCAAGCTTCCCGATGGTTCCATGTTGAACTTCCCCAACCGACTGGGAGACGTCAAGTACCAGTACTTTGATGTCAGCGGGGAAGCAAGGATCATCGGCATCAAGATCAAGTAGAGGCTGAACTCTTCTTAACCCTTTGACTCTTGATCTGTCCACCTTTTGTTTGTTGCTGAAATAGTCCGTTTTACATTACTGAGCCCAGGCCTGCTTGTTCATCTTTTCTCCTGGTGAGGCATTATGGGGAAAAAAAATGTGTAGCAATGTGTAGTGCTGATGTTGTAATAAGAGGAATTGGCCTAAAGAGGGAGCCACAGCACATCTTACCTCATTGTGCCTGTTTGACAGCTTATCAGTCACTGGGTTTGTTAATAAATGCTGTGAAAAAATCTCTGTGTTTTCTCTGTGTTCTTTTCTCTCTAAAGCCCATGCATCATTAATAAAACACAGACATTAGAAAAGTAAAACAAAGATACTATCTACTTGTATGAAAACAGAATTTTGTGCTGGTGATTAACCAAAAAGGGGGGACAATAGAAGTTTGTGATCACATTGTTTTTTAAAATATTGGTTCAGCAAAACATTTAATGAAAGAGCATGTTTAAAAGCATCTAGAAATTGATGTCACCATACATTTAAGATACTTAGAACAGTTAACACCAGATAAGAGCTGCATGATTACCAGAGATGATGAATACATGTTTTATTATTGTACTCTGCATAAGTCTGAGTGTCTGTGACACTGTTAACTTTTAAATGCAAGTCTGCTCAAAAGGGTTTTAAATATTAGCCACACTGAACAATGTGAACAAACAAAGGAAGAAAAAAGAGTGAAAAATTGGAACTGAGCCGCAAGTAAGAATTTGTCACGAAGGCTTGCAGTGTGAATTTGGCCAATATATCGACTGGAATGTAAGGACAGAGCAGATAAAAGAGGATGAAACACGATAATGCAAAAGGAGGGACAATATACGACAGAGGTGAGATGAAACACATGCTTACGGAGACAATTTGCAGGAGGACTCAAAGAAGCCGTGGCCCGAGGCTGAGGAATGTGGCACGATGCAACCACATTCCCTGTAAGGAGATGAAAAATCCTTTACTGTACGTGTGTGAGTTTGTGTGTGTGTGTTTCTTTTATTCAGCAATTGCAAAGTATGTTTTCTGTGATACATTTTTGTGATCAGTATTCATTCCTAAATGTCTGAAAACTCTCATTTTGTATTTTTAACTTTTGTAAAATAACTCACATTTGAACCTAAATGTCAGCTTGAAGATCATATAAAATGTATTTTTAGAGTGATATCATTAATGTAAAGAAGGCAGAATCAGAGATTGTTTAAAAGGCAGAATTTGTACATGTATATTACAAACTGAAATACTGTGTCATTTATGCAACCAGGAGACTTGCAGTCAGACATTCATGTAAGCAAACATCCACCTGCTGTGCTGAATTTCTCCAAATCCTCAACAGCTCTGGTTACCCTTCTCAACAGAGCAGGACATATGTAGCATCACACACAGCATTTTGCAAAGTTTGTACAAAGTTTAGATTAAAAGCATTTTGTACAAAATCACTTGAACAAAACTGTCCTCTCTCAGGCTGATGATGGGTCAATAACATTTTCCCGCTCCAGTGTCCATGCTCAGTAATTGTTTAGTCATCCACTACAGGTCCTGCAGTGGTGTGGTCACAGCTGACCCGGGGTCAGTCCTGCTTGAACCCACAGACTGACCTTTCTGGGCCAAGTAATCTTTATAGTTGCGGGTCAGAAGAGTATAAAGAAATGGATTGATACAGCTGTTCCCATAGGTTAGACATGTGACAAAGAAATTCACATAATTGTGAGCAGCTGGAGACAAAGCTTTGAGGGACTCCGGAGAAAACAGTTTGGCCAGCTGCCATCCCCAGAAAGGCAAGAAGCAAGCCCAGTAGGCCACCACAATGCTAAAGATCATTGATACGACTTTTTGTTTGAGTCCTCTCCTCCGGGCAGACCGGCTGCTACCTCCTAAGCTAGCCTGTGCTGCCCAGTAGCGCCTGGCCAGCCCCACATACAGCCCAACGATTACCAATCCAGGAACTAGAACACTTGTAAGAAACAGGACAGTGATATAAGCCTTGAAGGCATCAGGGGTCCAGGTAGGGAAGCAGATTCTCTTAACCAAACCAGCCGCAGTTGGTTTGCCCTCCCTGAGTCGGATCATCACCATCATGGGAAGCGTAAGCACAAAAGCTAAACCCCAAATAATCCCTGCCACTAGCCTTCGTTTGCGGGACGAGGACCTGTGTGCGCTGAAGGGCCTTGCCACGGCACGGTAGCGTTCCAGGCTCATTGCAACCAAAATGAAGACACTGGAATGCATGGTGAGGAGGTCGAGACTCAGCAGGATGCGACAGCCAGCCTCACCAAACAGCCAGTCATGGGCGAAGTAGGTGCAGACCACGAAGGGGATGGTGGAGAGGTAGAGCAGGTCAGCCAGAGCCAAATTGATGATGTACACGTACATGGAACCTGTTCGGCGCAAAGCGGCTGAACGTGTGATGATGAGCGTGTATGTGTTGCCTGCCAAACCCATGGCGCACATGATCAACAGTGTGGCACCGAGCAGGGATGTCACCCAAAGGCCCCCGCTGCCTCCACCACCACCTCCAGCACCGCTAGTCTCCTGGGACCCTCCCAGCTGTGGAGTGATGGTGGCATTAGGAGTGCAGTTCATTGCAGGTTCACAGATCATGAGTCAGAGGTCAGGCCTAAATCTTTAAGAGCCAGTTTACACAGAGCTATATGGCGGTTGGCTCCTGGATTAAATTGGATACGATTTTTAAGTCTGTAAAAACAAGATGGCTGATTGAAAAGACTGTCATTTTTTAACACAATCCACGTGAAAAGCAAACGTTGCTTGTCAGGACTCCTCATGAATATTTGATATTAACCTGAGCTAAATCCAAGAAATAACATAAACGGGCAACAGGTGGCAGAGCAGGGATGATGAGAACAACTATATTAATCCACAGAGAAGCTGTAAGTAGACCAGTGACATGGCCAGCAGCTTCAATGACTGCAGAGCTGCCGGTGGCTTGCACTTATCCCCAAAAATAAGGTCCTCCAAACAGCCATGATACCATATTACCAAAATCGACAGTGAAAAAGCCTCCAGCCAAGATTTAAGCCATCAAGAACCTTCAGACGTGAGAGATATTCTCAGTTACAGAGCACAGGGATTTCTCTGTTGTGCTTCAGGGCTGAAGTGGATCTGACAAGGGTCATTTGGGAGCAGCAGAGTGGCACAGTGAGTCAGGACACTGCCTTTCAACTTGAAAAACTGTTCAAAGTCTCTGATAGCCAGCTCCTGCAGTACCGAGGTGTGCTTGAGCAAGACTTCAGTTGCTGACATTTCCAGGGAAAGTCTCCGTAGGGGGAATTACTTTTAATACAAGAAAGAAAGAAAAAAATCACTCCCCTTTCCTCTATCAGTGTCCACTGTAGGAACCACAGTACATGTCCAGGTTTTTGTTTATGGTTGAATTACAGCTATATCCAGTATTTGTCTCGTCTTCCCTCTTCTAGGTTTCTACCTGCACACAGACACCTAAGTAGATCCATTACTTTTCCAAACGTTCCTCTATACCTCCATAAACGATGCATGGCGGAAAACCTTCAGTTTCTCCTCAGATCTTCAGTCCCCATTTGATTCTGCGTTGTGATAGAAGACTGTTGTGTCTGTGTTCTTTGGAGTTCTCCTGGTCACAGTCCTCTCCCTCCTCTTCCCACTGTCCACCCTCTTTCTCACCAGGGTGAAAAACTAGCACGGGCCTATAGATTTATGAGGTATTCCTCTCGGGCCTCAACCTGCTGTCTCTGAGCTCCAAGGTGTACTCAGAAATCCCTGGCAGGGGCATTGTCTTAACTACACACACATACTATACAACAGCCAAATGTATGCATAAAAAAGAGTATAACTATTGATTTCAGCTCATTTTAGAGGTATAAACTCTATAACCTCCTTTTTAGCAATTTATGTGCCTCATCTTAAAATTCTACTCTTCTTCTAATCATAACTTTTAGAAACAAGAAATATACACCTGCTTTCTTTGTGAATTACAACGAGTATTTATTATTTCTGCTGAATTTGTCTTCACACATAATTTTCTCTAAAACTTTTTCGGATGCTTTCTGCTGTGATAATAAACAGTAAGCGGCTATTTTTAAAATGATTTAATACTGATTTCGCACACCAATCTGGACAGAGATACCTTGACGACATTCAGAGGAAACATTTTTATTAGTGATCATCAATAATTCCATGTGCTATGTCAGTTAGATATGGTCAAGCATAGGAAGCTATATTAAAAAAATAAAAAAGTAAAACACTCAATCCACAGATGTGTCTACCTCTTAAACCAAAAAACAGAAAATGAAAAAAAATACCAGAAAAATGTTTCAATTGGCTGATATCTATAAAAGAAAGAAAAAAACAGCAACTTATTATTGGAATTATTGTTTGTTTTGAGAAAGTCTATATAGTGTATATATTGTACGCCACATGGAGGCGCTGTTAGACCATGTAATGGCTTACAGTATTCCCAGCTTTTCTATCCCAATGCCTTTGCAAATCCTGTCCTCCCTGTACGTCTTCGACAAAAAGCAAAAGCAACTTACAAAATGCAACTTTTGCCTAGTCTAAGAATTATAACAAAATTATGAAAGTCATGTTAAATTCATGATATAAACTGTACAGTTAATGTGTCTGAAGATACTGCTTGGAAAAACCTTTGGTCCGAAATAGCACATAAGCAGTATGCTGCAGCTGTAGCTCATGAGCTGTGCTGCAATACTCTTGCTGAATGTAATGTTCTATGTCATCGAGGAGTTATAAGGTTGGTTTAATAGTATGTATAATGTATAATGTACCTTAATAGTATTACCAAATCATCATCAATCATCACACATGGACATAAAATACTTAATACAAGAGGACCAAGGTACTTCTCACCTTAAAAATGCATTTTCTTTGAATCTCATATTGAAAACCAAATAAACCTAAAAATTACAGCCACATTATTTTAAAATAATAATAATAAAAAAAAAAATCCACTGGCACACAGAAAGTAAATTCATAGTTAGTTAGCATGGCCAACAGGGACCACGTCTGAACCAGCCAAGAAAGGAGCGCCGTCTAGAATTTCAAAATCCACTAAAGAAATATGTCAGAGTAATCCCCAGACTGTCTGACTGACAAGTGATCGCTCTGCAGTGCAAATATACCACAACAGCTAATGCAAAAACTGTCACTGAAACAAAATCTAACATAAATCATATTTATTGCCACTGTACACTGAAGTGTTACTATTTGTTTTGGCAGATTTCTTTTTTTTATTTACTAATGAATATTACCTTGGTCCTATTGTTTACATTGTAACTCCATTGGCGCATTTGGGAGTAGCAACAAGCTCCAGACTGACCATATTAGTGATGCATATTTTGCTACAATTTGCCAAAATCACTAAAGGAGTCAGAACTGATGTTGATGGGTCCTGTGTCAGATCGGTAATGGGCTGAGAGAAGAGGAGATGGTCCCACAGGTATCTGGTCTGTCAATGCCTGTGCTTAAACAAGGCTTCCACTTGAAAACAAATCAAATGCCAGAGTTAGAAAAAAATGGTCTTTTACCCATTCAGACAAATCATTTTGTACAACTAATACAATAGCGTCTTGGTGTTTCATTAAATTGCAATAATTTGCCCTTTTAACATGTGATTCTTCTTAAGAAATGAGGGTAGTCTTTCATTGCAGTACATCAGAAATGCATTAAAGCAAAATAAAATGATGAATGGATTCATTTTACAGCAATGTTTAAGTATTTGGTTCTTATAGTGGAACGGTCATAGGGTTTCCAATATGGGTCGTTAAGATGCTAAAGAAGAAAATGGCAAACATTTATACATAAGCATGTTATCGTTGTCGCTGTGAGCATGACAACCTCTACCATTTTAGCCGTACATTTATTTCACCACAAACACTAAAGATCAAGAAGTGATCTTTGGATTTCTTTCTTTTCTTTATGCACTATAGCCTACAGGCCTAGGGTCTTAAATGGAGCAAAAAAGCAGTGTCTTGGGCATTACTTTCTACTCTCTGCTCACGATCCCACAATGCAATCCTCCACATTTTATAGATGCAAAAAGTTACCGTTGTGCAACTCATGACAGGAAGCGACGATAAGAATCTCGATTTACTGCTCGCAAGCGATTGATTTCAGATGCAGCCAAACTCTTGGGAGATAAGATTTACAACTACCAGTGAGCCTCAGCAGTGTAAGCTGATTTTAAAAAAGTGAATTGTGACCCTGTTGGCTTTCTGCAAACAAAATCCCATCCTCCCTTAACTATCACAGAGGTATTTAACCCACAGCTCCTCCACTGGAGCTGCTCAGTGCCTGTAATGGATGGTTTGGTTTGATGCACAAACTCCCATGTGTGCATATGTGCAACTGCATGAAGATGTTGAGGAAAATGCACACAAGGCTTTCCTTAACAAACAAATGTTATCATTAGGTTTTCCTTTTGTGTATGGAAGTATTAATTCAACATAACAGCCACTTACAAAATAAGTAATCAGCAGCTAATTACAAAGGCTAACAGCTAATACATATTTAATTACTATTAATGAATATTACTAAGTTGTGAATTCTTACTTGTGTACTCCTGAGGGGACATCGGAGCACTCATGACATCGCTGAAGTGTTTCAGCCAATCCTGCTGGTCGTTCTCTGTCTCGCAAGTGAACAGGAAGCAGCGGTCAGGCGTTTGAATGGTGATACCGTGTTGCCAGGCACCGTTGCAGTGGGTGCCAGCGGGTAGGCCGGCGAAGGCGTTGTAACCGTGGTCCTTATTCCCCAAGAACACCTCACCTTTGGCAAAGGCGTCCTTCAAACAGAGGGAGAGTGAAAGACACAGAGGTCAACTTTAGATTATAACTACTCATTATGTTTACCAGGACACGGTGTCTGTCTTAAACAAAAGGAATTCATCAGATGAATAAAGTCATTCTGTTTTTGTTTCTCTGCTAAATACTGAGTGAACTGACCAACTAAACGGAAATATGAGATGTTCTGTGGTTCAATTTAAAATCATTTATCGTTGGCACCACAGTGGTTAAAGAACAAGTAGATAAGACATACTAAAAAAACTGCTGGTGTTGTTCCGTTCAGTCATGTTATGAGTAAATGTAAGAGGTACAATAAGCTGGATATACTATGCTACTCTCAGCTCCCAAACAGCTGTTTTTAAGATGGCAATGTTGGCCTGTTGGCCAATATCTCAACAACTTCTGCATGATTTCACATTAAGTTTTTTACATATTTTATGGTAACAATAGGATGAATCTTATTTCCTGCAGTAATCCCCTGACTTTTCCTCCAGCGCTCCAGAGGCAACATTTTTGGTTTATAGTCAAACATGTCTTCTATTTGATGGATTCCTAAGAAATTTGGCATAGACATTTAGGACTGCAACTAATGATTAATTTCATTACCGATTAATATGCAGATTATTTTCTAGATTCATGGATTAATCATTTAGTCTATAAAATAGTTTGTTAGTCCAGCCAGCAGTCCAAATCCCAAAGACATTTTATACACATGACAAACATGTATAACAAAGAAATGCAGCAAATCCTGCAGACATTAACGGTCCCCTCAGGATGAACTGTAATTACGTCCATGTAAAACCAATAGCATTCCCATCAGGCTATAACTGAAAGGTGACATGTCATGTTGTTAGCAAAGTGTGAACAAATTGCACTAACATACACAGTGAACATACATCTAACATGCATAATTTAGTGATTCTCCAAGTGATCACATTACACTTGCTTTGAGCTTCCGCCACATATTCCCAGTCCACACTTAACTTCACTAGACTTCCTCTTCTTTTCATCTACCAGTTTTTCTTGTCTAACACTCTGGGGGTACATTTCAGTCACTTAGCACCTATAATTATTGCACCTCTCCATTGAACTATTTCATCAGCAACAAAGCTGAGCTAATCTGGCTTGGCTATCTGATATGCGTTTTAGCCAAGTCTTGGGAAATCTGGATCGCAGCCCTCGCAAAGCAACTTTCTGTGATAACTCCTGCAATAAAAAAACTCCACTTTCATCATTCAGTGACTCAGAATCTCCCTTTCACGCCACGTCTCTACCTTTCAACCACTGATATCCGATAAATAAGGTACACATTTGCACATAGAGTTGTTGTGGACTTTTCCAGTGTAGCTCACAGGATGAAGCTAGTCTGCAGGTTAGTGTTTCCCCTCACTTTGAGACAATGCATACTGCATAATAATGTTATGTACAAATGAAAGTACCTCCTATTACCCTCTCCCCACTGAGTCATGGTTTCATATCAACAGCATTTTCTACTTAATCTAATTGGCTCTCCATGGTGTTAAAGTATCTTTTAAGAGCACACGATTACCATCAAGGCATTTTTCTCGGTAGGCTGGGAACAAGAAACTAAACCATTAGTCAATCAGGCATCAGCTAAAGGCTTAAAATCTAAAGAGCTGCCTATACTGACGTCTTTTCTGATGTGTGTAGGTGTGTGTAAAGATGTCATACCAGCGGATCTTTGAAGTACATGAGTCGTCTGTGGTCCAGAGTGAACCAGCGTTTCTTGAAGCCTTCTGTTTGCTGCAAAGACAAACAAGTTGACAGCAACAGTCAGACATGATGTGGGTGAGACAGAGAAAGACGGAGAGAGAGAGAGAGAGAGAGAGAGAGAGAGAGAGAGAGAGAGAGAGAGAGAGAGAGAGAGGGAAACTGACACAAAGAAGCATTGTACTTGTACCAAATGCGGTGTCTGGTTTTAAAATCAAAAAGTGATTCATACTCTGTTTAAATTGACAGCGCGGAGCTTCCTGACTGTCAATTTTTAAACTGGCCTCATCAATTATTCTTTTCAATTCCTTGTTTAGGCTGTAAGTGATAAAAAAAAAATGTTTAACCAAAAGTCCAAAACCCAAAGGTATTCAATTTACAGTGACATTAAGCAGAGAAAAGCAGCAAATCCTCACATTTGAGAATCTGGAACCAGCAAATATTTAATATTTTTACTTGAAAAATTACTTTTGTAATGAGTCAATCATGTAAATTGTTTGTCAATTCATTTTTATTCATTAGTCAGTGAAGACTAATTGTTTCAGCAGTTAAAGTCAGTCAAAATGGCATTTCTGTATCACACCAACAATACCAAAATATTGACAATAGATGTGGACTTTGAGGACAGGGGGTGAGATTGTGCTGCTGGTGTTTTATTTATCTTTTTCTTGACTGACCCTGACTCTCTTTGCAGCCTAATTCAATCACAATAATATTCCATTTTACGAATCAGTAGTGCAGCATTCTCTTGTAACTGACATTTGACCATGAAAGCGCATTATATCTCAGGCTTTTTAAAGAAGCATTCATCCTTGTTAGATTTGCAGGGTTTTCTGTGATTTATACGAAAACAGGGTTTCCTCTTGGCAGCTCCGTCTGAATGTTTGATATTGAATCTGAAAAGTCAAACTTGTTGTCACGGTTGAACGTTTACATAACTGCAGCAGAAGCAAACCCACGTGGAAAGCAGCAATCAAAGACTATGAAGCATGGCACCTTCGGAGAGTTTATTGAAGTGCACGAGCAGCTCAAGCTCTTTTCAGAGAGCCAAACTTCAAATGATGAGGATGCTCAGGTCCCCGACTGCTGCCAAATTGCCCTCATAAAAGTTTTTGATATTCCTGTTGTGGCATAAAGCTGAACAACTGACTATTCCTTTCTCAATTCACCAGTGACTCCTTCCACAAATATGTCTCACACATATGTGAGGGAAATGAATTATGACACCCATTTTGCAAATGAGCCCAACAGAGCAAGTTAGTGCGTCCATTCATCTCTCAGCCTGACAGACAGAGATTAAACTGAGAGTCTGCGTGCGTCTGAATACAGAACCGGTTGTGTCGCTGAGGATCAGGTTGCTTGGTGTTGCCTGTGTAGGTGTTTCAGTCTGAATCCTATGAAACACATGCATATGTCTACAGATGCTTACATAAAAGTGTTGGTGCAACAGTGCATGACTGCATGGATATGTACCAATGCCCCTCTGTGTGTTTGCTTAATCCAAACATATGTCCATGTTTCTGTGTGTATTTGAGGTTTTGGCACCGAAGGATTAAGTTGACTCTCAGCTGGAAGCCTTTTATTCCCTCACAGACAGACTGACAGACAGACGGATGGTGAGGCAGGCAGGTAGGACCTCTCAGCTGTCAGTCACCCTGTCAGGCAGCGGTGGAAAGCAGCCACACCAGCAGCTGGGGTAGTTAACCTCATCCCCAGCTCCCATTCCATTAAAGCAGGGAGAGTGGGAGCTGGGATCACAGGAGGAGGTTTCAGGAGGGAACTGTGTCCAACTAGTTAGATGGATATGTAGGCTGAAACTCAGTTCAGAATTAATAATGGGTTAGATAGTTTTGCAAAACAAATCAATAAAAATAAAGTAACTTTAAGCCAGTGTAGAGTATGATGGATGGGATCCACTCCTTTGCTGAATCTGTTCATGTAAAATGTATAGTATGCATATCATATATACAGTGTAGGATATAATAGCAGTATAGTATAGTAGTAGTGTAGTATTATAATGGCAACTAGACAGTAGATGTTTTGTGAAACACACTGAATGAGAATGAAACCACTGCTGGACCGTACACAATTGTAGTTTTTAGGATGTGTCACTTTAATGAAGTAAAACCTTGTGTTTTATTTGCCAAAACTGATCTATTGCACCCATTAGTGTTTCAATCATTTTATGAAAAACAAAACAAAAGTACACCTAGAATCACATTATAAAGTTGAATTATTGTTGAAATAAGTGATGTGATTCGGCGCAGGACTGAATCGTGCCTTTAGCGAAATCTGCTTGGTAATTTGAGCTGAATTTTTACTTTAAAAATTGGCATACGTGAACATTTCCAATGTAATTATTTCTGATCTCCATAATTAGTACAAATCACAGCACACCCTCTGGTACCTGTCCCATGACAAATGACTGAATCCCATGATAAACTGACTTAATCGAAAAATATGCTGTTATTAGTTCTGTACTTCCGGGGGAGGTCTGGTTAATGGTATTTGATACCACAGGATTTAAATCCCATTTGGAATATAACAGTTATTATCATTGGTTACCCTGTTGATAAAAACCTTATGTATTTATGTATTTTAAGTTTGAATTCTGAATACACAAAAGATAATGTTTTGAACACAGTATTTTACTGCCCTGTCTACATGGCACATGAACAAGTGCATATAGTCATAACAATAATATGGAGGGATTGTATCTGTGTTTTTTGGCATGAATTCCCAGATGCCTTTTATTCTACGACAGTGAACTTACTTGGAAGCTGATAAAGTGCAAAGTGAATTACTATCAAGGTCTTTGTTTAGGGGGGTTTTGTGATATTGTATTGATTCTCAAAAACACTGTATTGATTTTTGTGACCAAATCCTCAACCACTACATAACAGTGTTGAATGTTACAGGGACTGTGATAAATACTAAATGCAGATCCCACTGTTCTGTTGCATTAAACAAGTTAGCTTTTTTAACTCACATTTTATGCTTACAATGGTGTGTTCTATATACGCAATATATAGCCTTGTTTACATTATCACTATATACTGAATTGTAGCGTCATGATTTGTTTCGTTTTGCCAGATTGTTGCTAATACACTTAAACTTATCCACCAAGATCTACATTTTAGAAAGAGTTATTCATAATTTCAATGAAAGTTTTACAGTGTGCATGTATCTGTGTGTGTAACAGAGTGCTGTGTGTGTGTGTGTGTGTGTGTGTGTGTGTGTGTGTGTGTGTGTGTGTGTGTGTGTTACTTGCCCTGGGACCCGTCTTTTCCATGTACCCTTCCTTCAGAAAGTTCCGTGTGAGTTTGGGTATCAGCTGAAAAAAGCATGAAAAGCAAAAGGATCAATAATAACATCATAAGAATACAAAGAGATTCAAGTCCAACATTTACAGTAACTATAAATACAGTAATTGAGTTCCAGCCGCCTCACTCTTGCACAGACATAATATCAATGTATGGCATTTTAATCTAAGCAATCATCAACAAGAGGAGTCCTTGATGACTCATACTGTTGATGGGAGTGAGTATGTGTGTATGTCTGTGCTTGTGGTCTCTCACCTCAGCATCCGTGGCCCCAGGAAAGGCCACCTTTAGATAGTGAAGCTGAACTGCGCGAATTGAATTATACCAGTCTACGACCTCCTAATGGACAGAGAGAGAAAGACGTGAGGAGACTCCTATGCTCTTTTGTTTTTTTCCCACGCTGTCATTTAGAGAAAGAAATAAATGCCAGAGATTTGTGTGAGGTATCTGAGGGTGATGAAGCTCTGACACAGCCAGAAATCTTATCTCATGATTGATGCTCATAACTATCACAAACAACAAACTACTATATTCTACTGTAAAGATTTTTGCAAGCACACAAATCTTATTTGGCGATTATTTACAGGTGAAACTGAGCAGGCAAAACCGACAAACAAGAAAATTCTCAACACAAGGTCCAGCTTACTTTCCAAAGCTAGTCATTTTTTGATAATCGGTTGTCAAATGGGTTAACAGCAAGTGAGTTGTCCTTGTTTCTGTGGAGCTGCTGTCAAGAATGAACCTTTAAGCTACGGTCTGTTCATGAGAGGTAATTGATGAGAGGTTGTTTGACCGGTTGTTGACTGGTTCTTGTTGTTCAGGTACATTCAACACCCTGAATCTAATTACAATGTCGGTGACCTGGTTTCAGTCAGAAAATTATTTGCAGAATACAATCCAGCAGTAGAGATGGTTGTGGAATGTTGTACCTTTGCTGAGATCAGTGCAGTTTTTGATTCGTTAAATAATTGTTTGAAAGCAGCTTTTATTTATGACATAACTATGACCTTTGCTTCCACTGTTGACGATGCAGATATGGGTTGTAACATTTCTGTCTAAATCACACCTCTTCATCACAGAACACTGTAAACACTGTGACCTAACGCGGGTAGAGCATTATTTTTTGTTTAGTCCGCATAGAAACATAGTTTACAGTGTGTCAGAACTGAACATTAATGTGCAGCTGTATGTATTATTTTGATTCTGTTCTGCAGCAGACTCTCAATTTTCAGACGTTGGACCACCACAAATAACTTGAACTTCAACATTGAACTGATCAATATATTTCAACTTGTATTCATGAATGACAGAATGATAGATGTGGTGCTTGAATGTCATCTGCTAATGGATTCCATCAGCCAGCAGAAATAAATTGGTACAGATGGTTTGAAAAGGTTCGGAGACTCGCCCACACCAACCACCTAGCTTCAACACATGTCCCTAAATACAGATGACAAATATCCCATGTGAATGCCAACTTGTGCTAAAATGTAAGTTAGTTAACATTAGTTAACATTTGCTTTCTTTTTAGGTTGTATGTTATATGCACTGATCACGCACACACAGTGGTACAGCAATGCAGACCTTGCCGTTGTCGTGGTAGACGAAGATGTTGCGGGTGCTGTAGTCTTTGAGGTAAGTGATCTGCAGGCCGTTGGGGTTTCCTATCTTCTCGGGCTGGAAGGTTGCGTTCATGGTGTCCACCTTGAGTACTGCTTTGGGCTCCTTAGCCTGCAGGAGAGAGGGAGGAAAGGAGGACAAGGGTTTGTTTGAGTGTCTTAGGAAAGCAAGGATCAGCAAAACAAACTGTAACTGCACATCTGCCCTCTCTTCATCAATCCAAGACTGATCAAATCTATCATGATTACCTAACTTGTTAGACAGTGGAATTAAAATGTATATGTTCAGTGAAACAATTAACTATTTATTTTATTCTTTGTAATATCTGCTTTTTGAACATGTTTTAATCTCCTTGTAGTTGAACCTTGATAGCCTTTTTATTTGAGATATAATTGCTCAAAAAGTAGAATAATTAACAAATAAATAATGAATTATATGGACTGGGACCAATTAATGAACCTCCTCTTCATTTCATTGTTTTAACCAGTCATGATATAAACTTTTTTATTAGAAACTCGTGAGATTTTGCAGCCACTGCTTGGCCAGAAAAACAGTATAGTAATGGAGTCATGGTGTGTGTTTGGTACAAAGGCTTCTGGCCATATGTTGGTTTTCTAACCATGAAAATGATATCTAGAGCTATTATCTACACATCAGTCTGCATCACTGATAGCAATCATGTCCTAGACCAACACTCATCCCAGCAAACCTGTCTGTGGAAGCTGTGCTTTAATCTGTCCTGACTTGAATTTAAACACGTATCAATGGGACCAGAATCTGTGTCACTGTGTATCTCCTGCCCTTGACTTTACCAGATAACAAACACAGCTATGCTTATATGACAGCTGATTAGATGTTACTCTTTTCTGGTATTGAGTATTGACTCTCCCAGGATGACAAAAAAAAAAAAACAGTGAGAGACAGAGCGAGACAAAGTGAGAAGCAGCAGTCAGTTGGATTTGAGTCAGACTGTAATGTGCCTGAATACTTCACACACCTGAAGGCTCTTCTGAAAGCCAACCAACTCGTCGGCTTTAAAAACCTTAAGCAACTCAGCGACAGCTTCACTTTTATCACGGCTGTGACTCTATGATGGTCTTTTTGTTGTATTGTTTGTTCTAACAGTCACCATGAGAAAAGGAAACAACCGTGAATATGATATTTCACAGGAAGAGCAATCCTGAAGAACATGAAAAACATTCACAATGAAAAGACATTTGTATGCCAAGACACACGCTAAAACACACTGAAAATCCATATTTAAAAAATGAGAATGACAGTATTTCTTCCGGTCTTTTTAAATATATTATTCCCACTTCCCCCGAGCTGGTTTACTGTGACAAAGTGCTCCCAGTGCTTCCAGCCCTAATTGGTTCGGGTGGTGTACAGCTTAGTGAATCAGCAGCACTGACAGAGAGGACAAGCTGCTGGTTAAGCTTGTCTGAGCACGCTCAGATGCAGCGGAGGGAGCAGGTACAGATGCATTGTGTAGGCTTTTGATAGATATGTTTAAGTTAACTGTGTGTACGTGTGTAAAAATACTGCTGCACATAATTCGGGTGGGGGTGTTGTCTAAGGAATATTCTACGTCTTTAAAGTGTCCTCTAATTAAGGTGTTTCTGTTGTGGTTGTATGTGTGTGTGGGTGTCGGCACATGTGCTGGAAGTGAACTACTGTCTTTAAGCAACACTAACTAGGACTCAAATTACAGCAGATTACTGGTATCTCACAGGCATGGTTTTGTGTAGGGTGTGTGTGTGTGTGTGTAGGCGAAGTGTGTGTTTAGCTGCACATGGCCACTAAAAGTCTCATTAAAAGCTGCAGCTTACGTCATATTTGGTGAAATACTTCAGAGTCCCCTCCCTCTCTGAGAGGACGAATCGCCTGCTGAGGAACTGCCCGTTGTCCCGCCCCCTCTTCATCAACAAGCCATCTCTAGTTCCTGCAGGAAACCAGCAAAGGTTAGTCATTTGCACGAATGTGTTGTTGTGCATGTGTGTGTGTGTGTGTGTGTGTGTGTGTGTGTGTGTGTGTGTGACTCACCTTCCTCATATGTAAAGTTCTTCCCAGGCTCAGAGAACTCCTTTCTCTCGTACTTTGCTCTGATCCACTGCTCCCTCAACACCCTGAACACACACAAACAGATGAAACGCCAATAGAGCTGGCTTGTAAAAAGCAGCAGCTGAAAGCAGACGAACAGACGTCTGATGTACTTTGTGGTGGGCGTGAAAGATGCTCGGCTGCATACGTAGGGAAGCCTGATACATTAAAGCAGACACCAAGACTAGAGAGAGCAGCAACTACTCTGCCAGAGATCAGTTCATCTGCTAACATTACCTCATGCATATTCACTTTAACTTGTGGTTAACTTGATATCTGACATAAGTATCAGTTTAACTGAGAACATATCAGGAACCAGTTTATTTTAAACTCTACCCTGAAGTGACAGCAAACCTGGCTCAGGATCAAAACACTGTATGAAGTCTTTGTCTCCAGTTCACTCTCATATCCGTGTGTGTGTGTGTGTGTGTGTGTGTGTGTGTGTGTGTGTGTGTGTGTGTGTGTGTGTGTGTATTTGATCCCCTTACAGCAAACTGACTCTCTAAAGACCCCAGAAAGTATAACGGGTCAAGCTGAAACCAGCTGATTCAGCTCTTTTCATACACCGAACCTGGAAGGAACAAGGACTGAGCAGCCAATTGGTTCTTCTCTCTCTCTCTCTCTCTCTCTCTCTCTCTCTCTCTCTCTCTCAAACACACTCTCTATCTATCTAACTCTCACACACACACACACACACACACACACACACACACACACACACACACACACACACCCTCCTCTGCACCAGTCTCTATTACTAATGATCAAAGAAGGTACTACGTGCATGCAGCCTATCAATGTGTGTGCACGAGAGAGACAGAAGGGCGTGGGGATTTGAGCTGTCCTCGGGCACATTTTTACAGATGTAGTGACTCCAATCTCCTCTCATCGTTCACACACTCAAACAGGGTGACTGTGGCAGCTTCCTGTGATTTTTTTTGTCTGCGTTTGTCGTTTTATCCTACAGGAGAAGGTTTTTTCTTTTCTTCGCATTCACACAAATCCAAACATTCTTCTCTAGGATCTGCCTGGTGCAGCTACAGTAACACACAATATGAGACAGTGTGTTTCTACAGGTAATCCGGAGGCTACCTGTAGACAGGAGAATGCATGTCTGCAGCAGCCATTTAAATAATCCTGTTATTAGTGTATGTAGAAAAATAACATGTTCATTATGTGATCTATTGTATGTGGATGAATTGACAGCTACTTTAATAGCAGCTACTAGTGATGAGCATGTGAACCTATCATGATGATGGTTTATGGAGTTCCATTTTGAAGCCTCGAGTTTGGCATTATGGCTGTTGCCAATCATGTCCTCACAAGTTGATGCTCAGGACTGAGTCATTTAGAGGCAATATTACAAAATAACCAGTATTACAGCTAGGTTTGGTATTTTTCTAACTTTGCATGCACATATCACATTTTTCTTGCTAGAAGACTACATAAAACAAAAGACATTTCAACCATAGAAAACAGTGGAGAAAAATAATGGAGAAAATAATGAGAAAAAGCTGTTAGAGACCAGAAGAAAAGCTATACGGGTGGAGAAAGTGACTGCTAATGAGAAACGGTTAGTGTTTGTGTTCAGGCTGAGAACAAGGCAATGTTGTTGTCAAGAACACTTAATTCACAGTTGAGTCTAAATCATTTAAGATCCTCAAACTACAGGTGAATACAGATCGGAATTTGCCAACACACACACGCATACACACACCGAAACAATTCTCCTGTTTTCCTCTTTGTCTCACTGTATATTCACTTCATTAATCATAATTCTGTGCAATGCAAACTCGCTGACTGAACTGATACAAGAAATTCACTGATGCAAATAAAATGCTTCACACACTCTTCCTTCGCTTATCATTGCTAATAAAAATGATGAGGCGAATGCTGTTAACATTCTCTGCAATCCTTGTTTCATTATTCAAGACAAAAACTGGATTGGATAATGGCTACAGTTAAACTATAGCTAAGGAGCCCCTTTGGTCCTGTGACTGTATCTGTTTCTTAAAAATCTATTTAAAACTATATTGCATATTTACATTTTTGTGATTTTAATTCAAAATAAATTCATCATTTAAGCATATAATGCCACAATTCTAGCATACTTTTTTCCCCCGGTCAGACTCAAGTAAGATGGAGACTGAAAGTATGAGCTGATTAATCAGTTCTGTCAATCACAGACAATTAATAGACATCTGTTTAATTATCTAACTTATTTCATTCAGCAAATTTTAGGATTTTCTCTGTTTTATATGACTGTAAATCAAATATCTCTGGATTTTTAAGTGTTGTTCGGACAAAACAAAACCTCTGAAGGTCTTGTCATTGTGCTCTCAGAACATTTATTCAACATTTTATCGATTAAATGGTTAATCAAAACAAAGTCAGTAGATTAATAAAATTACCATCAGGAATCATTAGGAATAATAGTTAAAAACACTTAAATGTTGGGGTTGAATTGTAAAAATAAGCACCACAATAAGACAACACAACGATGGCCACAATAACAACATTCTGCAAAGTAATCCTGGTTATAAGTTTTTCTCTGTCATGATTCTAGAGCCAGAATGTGAAAAATGTCTTGAATGGCCGATTCAGAAGCCCAGACTTGAATCCCATGTATAATCATTGGAATGACATGAAGAAGCAACCTTTTCACAGACACTCTCTATACACTTGACTATGCCTGAGCAAATCTGCCTGGTAGAAAAGCAAGAAAATCCCAAAAAAGAGACATATCCAAGAACGTTGAAAAACTGCCAAGAGGTGTCACAAATTTTCAACTGTAAGTACAAGGGGAGCTGAAGGCCATGTATGTATCTCCAACTACTGCTCAGAGTGTGAGAAGGGCAGAGCTTACAACCCTGCAACCTTGCAAGTATTGCTTCAAATGCACACCTTAAAATTAAAACACCACCTCCAAAGGTAAATGAGAAAAGTTTTGAATTGTATATTAATCAAGTTGGACTTGAACTTGACTAACCCTGACAACAAGGAGGTTTGTCGTTTCTGCATGCTCAACACATGCCTAGATACACAACAAAAACAGGAAACCACATGCATGGATACACATGATCACACACTGGTGCAAATGAAGTACAAAATACACAAACAATGTTTAAAATTGTTTTGATAGCATAAATGTTTTTGAGTTTATATGTGTGTGTGTTTATATGGTTACTCACTGGCAGTCTTTGTGGGTGGGTTTGTAGTAGTAGACTGGAACAGCAGCCTCATATTTACTCTTCATCATCTCATTTCCATTCTCAGCCATGAACTAAAACACACACACACACACACACACACACACACACACACACACACACACACACACACACACACACACACACACACACACACACACACACACATTATCATTCAAGGATGAATGACACATTGGCACGTTCCCTTACAGTTTAACAGTTCCAATTTATTCATCAGCTCAACAGGAAAATAAACTCACCAGAAACCAAATCTTTATCAATGTTAGAATACAATAATACATCAGAGAGCTAAGATGATGAATGAAACAAATATTTTTAGATAAAAGTGTGCAAAGTACCAACAACATTTATCATCTGCTTTCTGTGAATCCTCTGCACGGTTTCAGGAAAAGGGAGAAATGTACTTGGCAAGAATGCGCTGTTGTAACATTGGAAATAATTGATATGCACTTGATTTATTTCCCCAGAAAGGCTTCAAAATGAGGAATGGAATTGGTACTTTTTATAGTATTTTGTCCATAGTGTACTCTTGCTTAATCACCACAGGAGAAACATCAAGTCATCCCTCATTGGACTGGCAATATAATACCCTGTTTTATGAGGGAGGACATACAATAAAGCACACAAGAAATTTGGAAAACATTGAACTGTTTCTGTGTTTTTCTGCCAGCAGTAATGTTATCTGAGTCTATTTAACTGACCACCAACTGTAAATAAAGTAATAAGCAAACATTTGTCACATAAAGTAAAATATAAATATGTGTTTCTCTCAACTGAACTAAAGGAATGGTTAGACATTTTGGGAAATATGCCTGTTGCCTTCGTTGCTGACAGGACGATGGGACGATTGGTACCACTCATATTGGTTTGTTCTATAAAGCTACTGCCAGCAGCCGGCAACTGGTCCCAGTACAGCATAACCCCCTGTAAAACGGTGAGATGTCATAGACACAGTCAGGCTAACTCATTGAAGATTTCACAGTTTATCCTGTTTATTCTTAACCTTGTGAGGCAGCTGGACTCGCAAGATCATAAGATCATGCAAGAATCCATCTTGCCAGGCTTCAATCTACGCGCCTGTGTCCAAACCACAGTGGTACCAGACCAATCAGCGCCCTTTGAGGAACTGCTGGTTGGTGGTTTAACGCTCGGTGTGTGTGTGACCACGTGTGTGAGAAGCAACTGTTTGCTTCTCTCCCAACTGGCTTCAGTAAGAGTGTGACTACGCTATATAGCTGATCTGATTAGTTGAAGTTCACTCATGATAGATGGTGACGGATGGAGGGGGGTGATGCTGCCAGCTCTGTGGTCTCACCTGCACCTCGTGGTCCTCCCAGTGGGAAAGGCTCAGGGATTTGACCTTGCTGATGTTGGGGATGTTGCGGTGGATCCCAGAGCAGGCCAGACAGATGAACACCCCCAGGGAGCAGGAGCCCCACCCGGGATCTGCAGAAAGGAGGATGGAGAGAACAAATGGAGTATGGGGATACACGGATAAGAGGAGAGATGGTGTGCTAGGTATGAAAGGACAGAGACAAACGGATCGAAAGATGGACGGGCTGAGAGTGAGGGATGCTTATGATTATCTCCATCATAGAACAAGCTATAAATCCAGAGAGTCAAGAAATAACCTACATGTTTTGCATGTCTGAGAATTAAGGTGGCATCATTACTCATTCTTATATTGTGAAAGCTAAAATTAAGTTTTTGAACACCTTCCTATGCAGAGAAAGTTGAAGCAGCACCATGCATGCCTCACAACAGATATGTATTTGGACTGCCTCTTCAGAAGTAGTTTGGGGTCAGTGCCTTGCTCAAGGCTGAACTCAATAGTAGTAGCTAGGTGTAAGGAAACCATTTCACTTTCTAGGCAGAAATCTCTCAGGTTAATGGATCTGCTTTTCCCCTTCCCCTCTTTGAGACCTAATATATAAGCCATTTTTTTCTTGCACCACACCTGTCTTATCTTCCTGACACACACTGCATCTTGCCAGTAAACAGAGCTTTTGTGTCTCTACTCTACCCTCGTTCTTATCGGTACACATCACAGCAGGCAGAACAGGGCATTCTTTTTTTTTCATATTCCAACTGTACACGACAGATTAGATCGCAGTGTGCCTGGCTGGTTAATACTTATGCCTATGTCACTGTTTCACAATGCCAGGGAGCTCGCCGGATAAAAATGAACCCGCCCACACATACAAATTGTCTCCGATCACGAGGAACAGAGGAATACGGCAGAGATATGTGCTAAAATGTGACCAGAGGAGTTGGAACTTGGAGAAAGTTGTTTTTGAGAAAGGCACTTAATCCAGTAGAGTTCCCCAATCGAGTAAAGGCTAGCCAACCTTTCTTGTATAAATAAAAATGTTAGCGATTAAGAGATAAGACCTGGCAGTGATTATCTTTGCCGCACTGCTCAACTACAGCAACATGGTGCCTCAGGGCCTGAATCCACTTAATTTCCCAATCCGACTGTGCTGCACTGAAATGTAATGTATGGTATGTATGTAGCCTACTGTTCATGAGAGTCTGGGCTGCAACAAAGCCAAATGCATTAACTGCATAGCCCATTTGGTCTAACTTGGGTTAAGACCAGAATCTGACTTGTGTTTCATATGCCACAGAAATCTTGAATTTACTCCGAAAACTGCATGTTAGGTTTTCAGCACAAAACTGAGCTAAAAACTAAACCACAGTAACTGAACTGGCTTGAGGGGTGCCAATAGCTCCCCCGGTAGAGCTGGCACCCCATGTGCCAGGGCTGAGTCCATGCTGCAGTGGCACAGGGTTCGGGTGGCCTTTGGCTGTATGTCATCCCCTCCCCTCTCTCTCTCTCTCTCTCTCTCCACCTTTCCTGTCACTCTTCAGCTGTCACTATTGATTAAAGGCAATACAAAGCCACACACACACACACACATATATATATATATATATATATATATATATATAGGTCTTTTTATTTGTATTAATAATTGTACTGGCTCGGAACTAATACCCTCAAAGTTAAACTGAAAGGTAATTAGCCTTGCAGAGTAGCAGCCGCCTCATTGCCATTGTTTGGTTCTACTGAATTCAATGTGATTTAGTGTGGCTGAGCTACTTTTAAACCATATATGTGTAAAGAATCATTTCTCACATTGAATTCAATATAAATATTACAGAGAATCAATTAAACCCCCGGTGGACATTCAATTATTAAATTTAAGTTTCTTTTTTTAACAACTTGAAATAGTAAGGGGAAGCTGAAAAGCCTAATATTGCTTGAAGATGGGTCTACAGCCTTTTCGTCTTGCATTCACTGAAGATTAACCAAAGGCACTATCTGCCTTTGTAGCCTGATTTCTTTGGGTAAATTAATCAGCATAAAAAGGGGCAAAATTAAGGTAGCTCCTCAAAACTTTAAACCCTATTAACTCAAAATTCACTTCTTCCATTTACTGCTTTGCCTTTGTAGGGCAGTGCAGTTCCCATACTGCAGACCTCCAGGAGGACCTCCACAGTGAGGCTGAAAGCACCAGGTGAGGGTGTGTGCCTGCACTCTGCATGTCAAGACTTGTTGAACCCTGAAAGTTTCTTCTCTTGCAGCCTCCACCACAGAATACTAAAAGCCTTTACCTGCACTGTTACCTTCAAGTGCTCCAGGAAAGCTCTCCCGTCTGAGTCCCTAGCTCACCTTGCCACGGATTTAAGGTCAAAATAACAGAATGCAAGTCAAGGAGTGGTTGAAGAATAGAAGCAACAGTGCAGAAATATGATGTTTTAATCATTAACTTTACCATGTTTGCACAGGTAAACGCTCCACACCTTCTACACGTCATATCTCAGCAACTCCAGATATGATACAAAGTTTGATTCCCCCCCTTAAAAACACTTTTCCGCTAATTCGAACATTCCTCCTCTTACCGGGAGCGCCGCAGTCTGCGCAAGTGTCATTTCCAGGATTTTGCTGGATCTCCCTCAGCACCCGGGTTGCTCTCTCATTTGACGACATTTCAGTGTTCAGATCGGTTATTCCTTCGCTTTCAGAGAGAGAGAGGGGGAGAGAGAGAGAGAGAGAGAGAGAGAGAGAGAGAGGGTGGGGTGGGGTGGGGGGCGCCGTAGAGGTAAGAGAAGACAAGGTGTGTCTCCTCGGTCTGGACTCCCCCTCTTGAAGTCCTCTCTGTCTAACGGGCTCCGGGCAGGTCTGCACAGGTATGCCCCCTCAGCACAGGCGAGGCGTGCCTCCGCTCCAGTGGATAGAACAATCTAAATCAACGCCTCTTCATAAACTTTTCACTGAAACTTTGCATTCTCTCTAATCTTTCTGCTGCGCCCCCCCAAAAAAAAGCAAACTGACACCCCTCAGGTGGCCTCCGAGGCGCGTCCTGCCTGAAGTCTGCAGCCAAAATCACCGCACCAGTCCCGGACTGCGTGTGCGGAGAGGAGGGTGTGCGAACGGGCATGAAACCCTACACTAGGAAGTGACATTCTAAGGTTGTTCAAACTTGCTTTTCCGCATTATCAGAGGTTAGGTCAGTGTGCAATCGCTCCGGCGCCAACTGTGCAGCATGCAAATGTCAGTCTACCTGTAAGGAGCTCTTTGAGGAGCACAGAGCCCGTCAGGATGATACACCTTTATCTAGATTTAAGACTGCTACCGACAGATTAATGAGCACTTTACTTCATCTTATTTATTTCGAAGTTTAGTAGTTATTACAATATGTTTCTGGGTTAGGATAAAGTTATAGCCTACTATAAAGGGAGTCTTGACACTCACTCTCATCCTGTTATTTAATGTGCAGAGTCAGACTACTATGCAAATGCGCACAGCCCAGTGCTGCCACAGCTTTTGCAATTGTTTTATTTTTTTTTTTGCAATTTAATAGATGGATTTTAGATTATCGTCACGACTCAATTACAAGTACAAGTACTGCATTAGAAACAGTACTAAATGTAAAATTGCTTTATATTATTGTATCTTAGTGTATTATTAGGTAGTTTATGCCATAACAATCAGTGGATTACTTGGACTTTTTTACTTAATTAAAATTATCGGAAATATATTATACTCTGCATTTAAAATCCTACCTATGTAACATATCCTCATATCTATTATCAGCTAAATGTATCTTAAGTAACCACATATGATGTATTCTGCAGAAAAAAATGGCCATTGTAACTGATTTTACATTATTATTCAATGATTAATGGGGAATGAAAGAAGAAAAACAGAGTTCTGCTACACAAATCTATATTTACTTCTATGTATATATAACAAATAATTTTGTGAAACATGCCCTCAGTGTTAGCTGTGAACAGTTAATTAAATGAGTGTGAGAGGTTTAGAAAGGGAAAGGTCTCTTCGGTGGGCCTGCTCATAGACAAGGAGCTCCATCAAATTGTGTGTCAGGTCTCATCGCCCAACATCAGTGACCGACCTCAGTCATGCTCTTGTGGCTGAATGGGAGCAAATCCCTGCAACCAAGCTCCAAAATCTTGTGGAAAGCCTGACGTTCAAGAATCACATCTGGGTGTATGGTTTAGTTGGCCACATACTTTAAGTGGATGTCCACATACTTTGAGCTATGTGGTGTATTTTTTCTCAGTTAAATATTCATCTGAAAATAACTTTAGTTTCAGATGTATATAGAGGGTTGCAGAAGGTACAACATTTGACATAAACAAAGCAGAAAGTAAACATTAAACCCATTATGGTAGATTTGCATCCCTGCCACGCTGCTGCCTGTTGTAGTTCCATGTTTGGTCAGTAGGTGGCAACAGTTCACCAGTTTTCTGCCTGTTACGGGTATTGGGTTTAGCTCTTTGTGGTACAGGTGTGGCTGTCAGTGCTGTATCTTTGTAGCCTGAATATATCTGTCTTTTAACCAAAGATCTCTCCCCCTCCTTTCAACCCCATGGAGAGTGTAAGATACACAGGCTGCTGGGAATGAGGTGCACCACTAGGCTGATGCTAGAAATAATCAGCAGCTCAGCAGTCTTCCCATTACAAAGAAAATGATATTCTGTGGAAGTAAAAGAAAAACATTGTCGCTTTGAAGTAACTTCCCTCACGCCTGAACATTCACTACCACAATTTGGTTTCTAAGTGAGACAGATAGCAGTTAGTTCAATTTGACAGACGGCAGCGATGTTTGATGTCATTTTGCAGTACCGGATTTCCCCTGAGACAGCAAAAGGCTAATGCCCTGTTACCGAGCTCATTTGTCAACAGCAATCCAGTAGACAGTGGCTTGTCTATTCTCTGCCACCCCGATCCCTAAATCCTCCTTTTCTCTCTGCCAATTTTGGAGTTGGATACTAACAACTGTCAGGCGGCGGTTTGGTGACACCTAATTGATTGAGATTAAAGTCTGTGTGTGTGTGTGTGTGTGTGTGTGTGTGTGTGTGTGCATGTTTCAGGGACAGATGAGAGAGCATCTCATCCCTTCTACTCACTCTGGATGTGTGACATTTTAAAGGACACAAACAAACAAACATGACTTTATAGGTACCGTGGTCTGTCTGCTCGCCCTTTTCTCTGTCTTAATTATTTTTTTATTTAGTTCAGTGAGAGTTATATTGACCCAGGTGTCTACCTAGGCCTGAAGCAGAAGCCGAACTTTTGCCCGTGTAATGTTTGGTTGTATTCCCCTTTACTTGTAACAACAATTTGGAGCTAAACATGCATACTGTATCTTCTCTCAGTCTCTCTCTCTCTGATGATTTATATGCACGCGGTTGGTGGCATTTGAAGCTGGCTGGGAATGACAAGGACTAAATGGCAGCATGTCCAGGCCATTAGTATGTGTCTTGCTGGGTGCTTCTGACATATCATGCCCTGTCTGTGGCCCTGCCTTTGAGTCTGGACTCTCAGTCTATTCTATTATATATATCCATAAACTAGACTACAGGAGTTGCCCAACAAAGTTTAAATCAATCATCTGACCTGGGTGCTAAGTGGTAGAATTTCTATTTGAATTAATGTTTTTTAGTTCTGATGTCAATTCTCAAGGGTGGGTAAGAACTGATAGTGACCGGAAACAAACTGGGAGTAATTGGGAGCTTGCACCATCAGGCAGAAACTGCATCAACAGACATCAAGGGCAAAGACAAAAGCACATCAAACAGGCTTTGAAAACCTGTGGCCACTGACCTGGCCTTCATTAAAACACATGCCATTTTGTCTACTGCTTGAACATAGGCCTACGAGCAGAGCATAAAACCTTACCGCATGGCTCACACGGGCGGTGTGGTTGCTCTTACCTGTCAACGTTAGCGCCATAATAAAACGCAAGACATTCCGTGACACACTCACACTGCTCACGCATGCTATGTGGTTTTAGCCTTTTATCATGATATCATGTATTCAGAAATAGCGTGCATATAGATACAGTTCTGCTAGCGAAAAAATCACTTAGAAATGAGAAGCCTGCTTTTGTGTTTACTTCTGTGTAAATTCAACACACCTGGTGTTTTTCACCGAGATTACTCAGAGACTTTCGAGTGGTGGATCTGCCCTGCTATCATTGTGAAGTGTAGCACGCGTGAACAGAAAGCTTGTCAGGTGTAGCAACAGTAACTGATGTGGGGTGGGGCTTAGCAAATGGTCAATTACCAAGTGAATCATGTATGATTTGGTTATATAGAAAAAAATGAATTACTGTGAACCATGTAAATGCATTAACTGAACTATAACCTTAATGTGGTTATTCACCATAATCAACTTAAGTGTGCATGAACAGGCAGAGTATGTCAATGTGTGTGGAGACGGGTGAAACAGAGAGTAAAATGAAAAAGGGAAAGGAGATTGAGAGATCATAAGAAAGAAATAAAAGACAAAAAGAGAGAAACTTCACGAGGGAGGCAAAGGTGAAGAGACAGAGAGATAAAAAAAGGCAGAAAAAGGGAGATAGACAAAGAGGAAATGAAAAAGAGGGGAAAAGAAAGACAGCCTGAGAAAGGATGAGACATAGGGTGAGAAAAAGAGAGACATTGAGACACAGACACATCCTGAGTAAAAGACAGAAACAGAGACAGAAAGGAGGAGAAAGACAAGAAGGGAGAGGAGGGAGAGATAGAGGAGAGGAAACTGGGAGAAAAGACAGAGAGGAGAGAAAGAAAGCAGAAGAGAACATATTACTTGTGGCAGACTCTGTCATGGAGTTAATGGGGTTTTGCCACTTCCTATCATTCCAGTGCCTTTTGAACCGTGGCCTTTGCATACAGAAAGATCATTAACTCTCAGCTCTGCCTCCTCCAGGGCCCCTCGTCTCCTCTTCGTCTGCAGGACGACTTGTCAGCAAGAGCCTGGTGCCTGCCTCCCTGCCTTCATTTAAATCTGCGCCACATACTTGATGTTACGACACACCCTTATTAGCAGCCCAAATCACAAATTGGGGCTGTAACACAGAAGAGAGCGCCTTTCTCTCTAACTGAGTTATTGTAGATTCCCTCTCATTGGAACTCCACTCTTCTTGTAGGAAATAGGACCAGCGTAGTGGCATGTAGCGGTGTAGTTGCAGATCGCAACTCCGTCGCTTTCCCCTCCCTATCCAAGCGTGAAGTAGAAGCTATGGTGGCCATGAAGCGAGCAAAAAAACGCAAACGTCCCTATCTAGAGCCAGTTACCATAGGTTACCATAGGAACATGGCGGGTCATCATGGCGGACTCCATGGAAGGCAACCTGCAGTGTCTGCAGATATAAACGGCTCATGCTAAGGTTACAGAAACAGCCTCCTAAATGTTACACACTGGAGTGTTAAGCCAAGAAAAGTGATATAAAAATGTGCTTTTAAATGCAACTAGCACTCGATCCAGAACCTGACCTAATGTGATTTGATATCTAACCTCAGCTTGCATGTGAAAGTCCAGTATTTACCTCATTACTGCCTTTCTTTGCCACAGTGACAAGCATCTGGTGGAGGCAATGCTAAGACCGTACTTATGACAAGAGTTTGCACATTGTCCGGAGCAGCGTTAGTGAGTGAGATAAATGTGACAAAAACCAAGGTTGATTTTGCCCTTTTGGTTTTTTACTCAACACCTGGTTTTAAACTTGAAATGGACCTATGAGGACTAACTTGCTGTGGGTTTGGTTATCCTGCTAATTTTAGTGAAGGGATTCTTGGGAGGATTTCTTTAAGCAGTATTTTATTTACAGGTATTTCACTGAAAATTGCATGTTGACGGATAATTTTTGTTAACCCATCCAGCTACCCAAACCTCCTCCCTATGTGGAATTCTGTGTCACCTTACTTCCTCCCTTGCTCACTTTCTACGCCCGCCAGAGTCGCTTGAAGATTAACGTGTCTTTTGAGGCCCTTGCTGAAACGAACTAAATTCACCATATCAACTTAAATAAGTCAGTTTTATTTACAGCTTGTCCCCCCTGCAAAATTCATAATGATCACGTAAATGATGAGAGTACTTTGTTACTACCACTCACATCTTAGCTGACCTAAGTGCCTTG